CATATAAGTTGAGTAATGACTCCAATTGATATTTTTGTAGTTTATTTTATGTGTAATGTTGGTGGGAGGTCTTTCGTGGGTTATGGAGATAGTGGTTTCTATTGGGAGGTGGTCACTATTCATGCGGTCTGGGTAAGTTTTCCACGTTGTAGAGTTGAGAATGTTGCTTGAGATTATTGTGATATCTATAGGAGATGAGAAGAATTGTTCTTCTTGATTATTGAAATAAGTATGAGAGCCGTCATTGATTATGGATAAGTCTGAGTCGATAAGTGCATCGATGAGATTTTCTCCTGATTTACAAGTTTTGTTTGCACCCCAGGTAAAATGGTGGGCATTTAAATTCCCGCCGATAAGGGTGTGTTTATAGTTAGAGGTTGAGCTTAAAAATTGTGACCAGGTATCTATTGTAGTTTGGGTGGATGGGATTCTATAAGTTGATATTATTAGTATAGAGTTTTCTTTATTTGTATTATTTATGGATAGGGGGATAGATACAGCGACGGTTTCTAGTGTTTTTTCGTTATAATAGATATTTGTTTCTTCTTGAAAAGGGAGGTTTGTTTTTATTAGAATTGCTACTCCTCCAGGTTCTCCTGTTGTTCGGTCTTTTCTTATAATATGATAGTTAGGGATGTTGATATAGGATTTATCATTTAGCCAGGTTTCTGAGAGCAGGATAATGTCATAAGAGTTGATAATATTTTTTAGAAGATATAATTTATTACAAATACTTCGACAATTCCATTGAAGTATTTTAAGTTGATGTACTTCTTGTTTAGTGTTTAGCATTGTTTGTTAAGATAATAAATATATATATTAATTGTGTTGATAGGATATTGAAGTGTAATTTGTTGGGAGTTAGGAGAGTAAATTGTTGATTTTTATTTTTAGTAATTATTTTAATTTTGTAATTGTGATTCTGTATCTGTTTGATTATATGTAGTTTCAATGTTTTCATTTAATAAATTATGAAAATTTTGGTCTGAATTTAGATATTGTATTATAAAATCGTGTGAAATAGCATATTGATTTTTAAATAGATAGGTGTCTTCGTACATGGAAATTTGTGATGTAGTTGAGGGTTCGAGTGGGGGGGTTGGGGAGATTGGATGATCATTGAATGTTGTAAAATTTGGGTTTAAGTTGTAGTTGCCGTTAGGGGAAATGAGGAGTTCGTTGTGTTTTTTTCTAAGGTCATCCTGTGTGTTTTTGGTTTGTAGGATGTTAGAGTAAGTTTTTTTCGGAGAATGTAATATCGTTTTTTTCGGAGTTAGATTATTTTTTTTTGTGTTTGTATTTTGTACATAGAATTCTTGGGGGGTTGGAGCTTCGTTCATTTCAGGGTGGTCTGAGAATCTGAATCTTTTGGAATTATTATTGTACTGATTATGTATTAATTTTGCCTCTTTTATTGAAATGTTTCTTTTGGTTGCAGTGGTTAGGATGTCTTGTTCCATTTTTTTGACTTTGCAGTTTTTATCTGTTGGTAGGTGATTTTCTTCACAATTTAAACATTTTTTTGTCACGTCGTTTATTTTGGGGCACTCTTGATAATTGTGTGTTGTTTCTCCGCAGTATATGCATTTTTGTTGTTTTGAATTACATGACGATTTGACATGGCCATGTCTGTAGCATTTGGTGCAGAGTTTGACTGTTGGTATGTATTGTTCAGTTCTGTATCTAACTCTATAGAGAAAGGCATGTTGGGTAGTTATTTGTCTTTTGTAGGTAACTAGGATAGTAGTAGTTGGTAGGTATTTTACTGTGTCATTTTCAGTCACTTTTCTATTGAATCTTCTCACATTGATTATCGGTAAAGTAGATATTGGTGATGCTAACTCTAGGTTGTTGATGATTTCTTGTTCTGTGATGTTTATTGGGATTTGTTTAATTACACATTTTTTGTAAATAAATGAGCTTGGTATAAAGGCGATTAGGTTGTTTTTTTTAAGTATTCGAGTTTGAGAATTGAGTTGGCAACTTTGCGGTTGTGTGTAATTATCGCTATTTTATTTCTACCTGTTCTGATGTATTCGTCGATTGAGCCATTAGGGAATAGCGGGGTGATATGTTTAGCAATTTGAATTGGGGTTATGATTGTTTGATTTAAGTTAATTTTGTTATCGAGTTCAGCGGATTGTACAATTATTTTGTATGGGGGAGGTATGTCGTATGGATATTCTTCAATTTTGGGGAATTCTATTCTTTGTGATTGTGGGGGCTGAATTTCTCCTAGTTTAGATTGTTGTGATCCTTGATTAAATTGTAAATTAGTTTCAGTATTATGGTTTCTTTTGGGGAGTTTTTCAGGCAATGTTATATTATTTTCATTTAGGAGTCTTTTGTTTCTTGTTTGCTCTGGTTGAGGTAACATTTCAACATCTATTAGGTAGCTGTTATTTAATTGGTTTTTTTCGTCGTTTATACTCATCTCGGGGACGGGTGCTGGGGAGGCCAGAGCTGGCCGCCCCACGAGATGAGTTATTGAGGTTAGGTTCTTATCCAAAATAAATTAATTAAGAAAAATAAAAAAATAGAAAAAGAAGGTGGTGATGAAAGATAGATAAGGTGTTGAAGGATAGTTAGAGGATAGATATTGGGTTGATCTTACCAATAAAAACCAGCTTTGATTATTATAGTTTTATTAAAAATGTAAGAAGGTGGAATCGCACGTGCGTCCGAGGCGCCCCCAGGTCATTCTTTGTAATCCTTTAATCGTCAACAATAGGCTACAATACGGCGATATTTTTAGTGATGTTACTAGAGTTGCGATTCGCGTCCGTATCCGTCCGCATCCGTACGTACACTGGACGTTACTTAATTCGCGACACGGGAAATTTAAAATTGGAAATAAGCTACGTCGTTTGAGCACCACTGTACCCGACCGAGGATAGATCACAGTTTTTACCTATGAAGATGCAAGGTTTATGCTTCAAGTATAAATGGCTATTCACCAGTTTTGGTTGGCAAGAATTAAGACAAATTTGGCGCATAGATTAAAAGAGAAGCAGCAGACAGTGCAGGGCAGCAAAGGACCAAAGAAGAATTCAACAGTCAGATAAGTATCATTAATTCACATTATTACAAAGTTTCCAAATAAGATAAATTTACTTTGTGTAACTTTGCAGGTCTCTAACGGAGAGAGTATTTAGAAAATATAGAGCACTTGGTACCAGCAATTCCTGGCAACAGATCGATTCTCTGATTAAGACTAATCAGAGTCATTCAAGAAAGCCTAGCCATATATCAAGATACTGTCAGTGGTAGTAGCAGAGAGAGAAGCAAATAATGCAGAAGATAATGAAGAAGACAGTGAATCATTGGAGAATGCTGTGCTTCAAGACTTTCTAAACAACAGCAGTGCTTCAGAAGAAATAATTGAATTTGTTTATAGACTGTAGAGGGATTCGTGTACAAGAATTCTACAACATCAAAGATAGATCACGCTAAATGTAACAAGATTTCATTGTCCATGCATTCAAAATGTATTCTATTATTTCATATAAAAGGTAGCTAAGAAATAAATAACGTAATTTAAATGATACATTTTTTATCACTAACTTGTCACTCATACTTTCACTAACCACACAATATAGTCGTACATTTTTAGAACAAATACACTGCATAATAATTATGCTTGACACGAATCCCTCTACAGTCTATAAACAAATTCAATTATTTCTTCTGAAGCACTGCTGTTGTTTAGAAAGTCTTGAAGCACAGCATTCTCCAATGATTCCATCTGAAAACCACCGTTACGGACTAAAAGTAGCACTCATACCAACCTAACTGGGGAGGTCGCGATTCAATTCACGTTGGGTGTACCTATAGGACCGGGGCCTAAAAATATCTAGTTCGATTATTTAGTACCAACACTACCGGTAGTGAGCAAAAGTGACTGTGGTTTAAAACTGTAGCACCGAATGTACTACATTTACATATGATGGGCGATGCTGTAAGTGAAACTCTTGAATGAGTTAGCGTAATGTCTTGCAAAATATCGTAAAAAGTATTATTTTCACGTGATTTCTAATATATTTGGAGGTCTAATTACTGACATTTTTTCGTACATTATCACCGCTGGACTCACACGATTCATAGGGAAAAAGCAAACCATTTTCTGTCGTGGCAACAGCTTCGTACATATAAATGTAAACCAATACAATTGATAAATATCTATATCTGAATATTTTCACTAAGTTTGAACGATTTGGACATTATATACATCAACAATCCGTAATATCTCTCCCGTGTTAGTAGATCTATAGCATTTTGAATTCACGCAAGATATGAAGAGCTATAGCTTTTTATTGTCTGAAATAATAATTAAAATTGAAAATTAAGTTTCCGTATATAAACGGCAAAATAACAGGAAAATAGTTACGAATACGCAGCCACAAACGTCGGTGCCACGTGCCTATGTATATAAAAACGACTTGTCAGAGCGATATTATTAAAATTCTTGAAATGAGTAGTGCGTAATTTTTTTATTACTTGAATTTATGTTGATGTATAATATTATTTTTTTCTGGATCGTACCTTACATCACTTGGCTGGTATAAATTAAAACAACTTTATAGCAACGTTTAGTGTACTATATTAAAAAATTTTTTTTTATTTACTCCAAGTCTATTTAAATCTGTCTAACACATTAAGACAATAATTAAATGTAATATGCTGTATGGATTACATGAAATTCAGCAGAATGCTCCCGTGAGTATGCTGTCTTTATTTGAAGTAGTAAAAAGGAAATTTGGGTTTTCATGAAAGATTCTTTGATACTTGTAAGAAGTTAAATCAACTGTATATATAGTCTTAATCAAAAAAGCATAAGTAAGAGCATTATTACAGACTATTTTTAATAACGAACAGAATTAATTGAAACTAATAAGTCTTGGAGAGAAAGTTAGTTGTCTCAAATAGTTTAGAGCTGAAGGGTTTTGTAAAAATAAAAATAAAAATTATTATTAATTTAATTGATTTTATTAGGTAAAATGTACAATTTCCTACAATAAGTTCAAAAAGCTATTATTAGACTATTTCGTTTAATCATCTTTACATAGAAATTAAATTCTTGGTGTACAATTATATAATATTTATAAAAACAAATCCTCCATTGACTAGAGTATATATTTATAAAAAGAGAAGTTTGGAAGAGATCTAGAGATGAGTAGATAAAGACGTAGTGACAGAATAGAAATTTTCTCGCGCACTCATACAGATAATGGGATTTGAAGACCATCACCTCGAAGTACAATAATAATAATAAACTAACAAAACTCCAACATGGCGGGCTACTGACGCCTAAGCAACACCGTCGTCATTCATTCGCACCTATGCAGTCATATAATTATACCCTGAGCGAGAAAATAATAAAATACAATATGTATATATGCATTTGGTGGGAAAGGAGGAGTCGCAAGTCACTGGAGGAGATGCACGCAAAAGAAATGCTAGGACCGCAGAGCCGGTGATCGGTAGGACGAGTGACCGCCTTCTCCTTGGCGCATTTCTTTTTTTCTTTCTCACGATTCACATACTTTATTTAATCATCGTAGTATAAAATTAATGTTATTTATAACATAATTATTAATATCTAAGAGATGAGTTTTAATTTCGTATAAAAAAAATAATTCTTGCTTTTTTCGCTTTTTCGTAAAAACAAAACCCTCGCCGACCGTAAAGAGAGAGAGAGAGAGGAAGAAGTTTCGAGTGAGCATTGAAAAAAAAAATCTATTAGTTGTTTTATGACATATAGTAGTCGGGCGAGGGTTCGGCCACCGATTCGGTGGTGAACAAGGGATTAGGGAACTCTGGCGGGTGTGGCAGTGGTCCGGCAGTCTTTGGCTGGCGGCGATAGGCCATCAGCCAACATGACACAGCAATAGCCACAGCGACTAGTGCCAAAAGTGCCGTAAGTATCAGGGAAATGATGAAGCCAATCATGGAAACACACACGTCTTCCGACAGCCGCGGCGCTGGATCTGTGCAACAAAGAACATTACGTGAAGGCTGCCGTGCAAGAGGAGCTGAAGCCGCTTTAGAATTTTCCAACGACTTACCGCTTGGTGGATAAAGCGAATATCTGTCCTCCCGCCGCTCGACCGTGCGAATCAAGTTAGAGCTGACCTCTATGTTTCCACGCTCGTCTCCGATAATATTATCAGGTAGATTCATGGCAGTCTCGTTGTCACCTATCGTGTCCCTACGTTTACGGCCAAAGGCATTTCTTCCTCCGCAGTTGACCTGAAGAGAAGAAATAAAAAGGAACGTGAACGGAAAGGTCGTCGATCGAGTATACGAGGAATCAGCAGCGACGCACTCACCGGTTGACACCTTCCAAAGCACACGCGAATGTTGCACAGGAAGCGTATGTTATCGCTACTTGGAAACTTGAAGGCGTTGAAGCTGGCAGTGAGTTTCTGATCGTCGTCTTGCTGCCACTGGCCGAAGATGGAGGGATCGGTGGCGCAGCCGTTCTCGTCCGTCACCAGATACTCGCTCTCCGTGTTGTTGTCCGACGTCTTGGCCACGCACGAGCGAGCAAAGCCACCGTAGATCGCTGCAGCGAGAAAGAAAAAAAAAACACGGGCGTCACCTACGTATTCGTGTCGCATTTGCATGCGCTCTCGCACGTATCGCGTGTCGGTACTCACTGGTTGGCGTAACTTCGACCTCGAGCCGTAGACCGTCACCGATCTCGGCTTCGTTCACGTTACTTCCGTTCTCGCTGATGATTCGCATTGTGCACACCGGCGGCGGTCCTGTATTGGCTATCGTGCCGGCCGTTGTCATCATCGACACATTGAAGCCCAACGTTATGTTTTGCTCGCCGATCTGGTAGATGCACTTGATGCTATACGCTTGAGCGTTGTATGTCATGAGCTTCTTATGACTCTGGATTATGAGGGTGAATGTGGCGACTCCCTGTTCGAATAAAACGAAAATTACGACGTTAATGCTGTCACTTTTATCTCTGATGATCCCGATGTTGTGCGAATGTAATGTTTCCCATGCGAACATTTCTATCGGCGGTACTGAATAGACTTACATTAACATGGGTCAGTCCGCAAGTACCAAAGGCCACCTTGAACTCTTCCGAAATAGGCTCGCTCTCGCGAAGCGTCAGATCTCGTCGACATTCCTCGTCGGAGCTGTAGTATTTAACGTACATGATTCCATCGAACGGCTCGCCTTCACCAGTCAATCTCACTAAAACCCCGTCCGACAGACACTTGACGCTCATGTTCTTCTTGAAGTCTTTTATCTTTCGGGGCTTGCACTCGTTATTCGTGATTACTCCGTACTCAGGTTGGCATGGAATGCATTCCCCTTCCTCGTTTATCGTGTGATACGGTGGACAGACGCACTCTCCAAACTCGTTGTGGACTTGTCCCTTCTTCAAGACGCATCCTGAGAAGACAATGGAAATTCGCGACGCGAACAATTGAAATTTAAGAAATTCACGAAGAGCCTGTTGAGATCGAAATAAGAGGGCTTACTTGGCTCGCAGCGCTCGACGGCATTGCCGTGGTAGCCGGGCAAACACTCGCAAGTCATCGTTCTGATTGGATGCGTATCGAGGACCTCGCAGATAGCGTTGACACCGCAGGGATTGATGACCGCGCACGGGTTCACGCACTTGTCGTTGATGCAGGACTGATGATGCGGACACTCGTCGTCGCTTCTGCAACCGACTGCAAAGAGAAATCGTGGAGCAGCCGTGATAGCGCCGTTCTCGGCTCTGTCGTCCGCAGCAGCTGGCACTTACCGGCCACGCAGAAGCCAACGTCGGCGGCAACGTGCCCGGGTGGACAGGCACACTCGACGACGTGATCGTAGACGTGACACTCGGAGTCCTTGTCGCAGGGATTGTCGGCGCACGGGCTGACGCACAGCTCGTTTACGCAGGCCTTGTCGGACGGGCACTCGGAGTCCTTGCGACAGCCGATGATGGGCGCGCACAGGTGGAACGGATTGCCGGTGGTGCCGGGCGGGCACTCGCAGACCGCCCTGTGATTGATGCCGCAGCAGTCGGCGTTCTTGCCGCAGGCCTCCAGCGAGGGCGTGCACACTTCCACGCAGAGCCGGTTGATGCACTGGTGAGTGCCCGGGCACTCGGCGCTCGACCTGCACTGTCCGACCGGCAGACACTCGACCTCGGGCACGCCGTCGTAGCCGGCGATGCACGAGCAGACCGCCCGGTGGTCGATGACGCTGCAGACGGCATTGGTGCCGCAGGCGCAAGGCTCCGCGCAGACGGCGGCCACGCAGGCCCGGTCGGACGGGCAGTCCGAGTCGGTCCTGCACTCGACGCGCACGACGGGGATGATCTTGCAGGTGCCGCTGCCGCTGCTGATGTAGCCGCTCGGGCACTCGCAGACCATCGTGCGGACGGGCAGGCTGGGCAGCACCTTGCAGGTGGACGGCCGGTAGCAGGGCTCGATCACGGCGCAGGCGTTCTGGCAGCGGCTGTTCAGGCAGGCCAGCAGCCCCGGGCAGTCGGCGTCCTCGCGGCACTCGGGCACCTCCACGGGCTCGCACGCCTCGTACGGGTTGCCCCTGTAGCCGGGCGCGCACCTGCAGATCGGCAGGTGGTTCCTCACGTGGCACTCGGCCCGGTGCGAGCAGGTGTCGTCGCGCAGGCACGGGTTCACGCACTGCATGTTCACGCAGGCGTGCTCGCTCGGGCAGTCGCTGTTGCTGTAGCAGCCGATCGCCCGGCAGTCGCCGCGCTGAGCGTTGCCGTAGTGCCCGCTCCTGCAGCGGCACTCGGCCAGGTGGTTGGACACGTAGCACTCGGCGTGCGGCCCGCACGCGTCCGACAGCAGGCACGGGTTCACGCAGCTCCTGTTCACGCACGACTTGTCGGAGTCGCACTCGGAGTCGCGCTCGCACTCGACGCTGTGGCAGGCCACCTCGGGGTTGCCCACGTGGCCGGGCTCGCACGAGCAGCTCGCGCGGTGGTTCTTCGCGTGGCACACGGCGTTGGCGCCGCAGCTGCACGGCTCGCGGCACAGCCGGTTGATGCACGACTTGTCGTCCGGGCACTCGTCGTCGGACGTGCACACCCCTCGGCCCTCGATCGGCACTGTGCGGACAGACAAGCGGGCCCTCTGGAATCCGTCGTGGCACACTCATGCGTCGGCATACTTACCGATGCGGCAGACTCCGTCGGAGTCGGTGAACCATCCAGGCGGACACGTGCAGACCATCGTTCTGACGGGCACGGTGTCGAGCACGCTGCACTTGGCGTTCTCCGCGCAGGGCCTGATCACCGGGCACGGCTCCACGCATTTCTCGTTGATGCAAGCCAGTCGGCTCGGGCAGTCGGCGTCCTGCCGGCACTCGGCTTCCAGGCGCGTCTTCTTCTCGCAGTACGAGTACGGGTTGCCCGACGGCAGGTATTCCGGGCACCTGCACGCGGCCTCGTGATTAGAAACGTAGCACTCGGCGTTGCGAGCGCACGGCGACTCGACGGCGCACGGGTTCACGCAACGCAGGCTCTGGCAGGCCAAGTTGGACGGGCAGTCGTAGTGGGATGTACACTCGGGCCGCTCGCACGATACCTCGGGATTGCCCATGTAGCCTTGATTGCACTTGCACGTGGCCCGGTGATTCTTGCCTGTGCACTCCGCGTTGATGGCGCAACGGTTGTCGATCACGCACGGACTTATGCACCGGTTGTTGTAGCAGGTGTCGCTGTATGGGCAGTCCGTGTCCGACTCGCATTCCACTGAAAACCAACAGGACGGCAATTGGCAGGCTGTACGTCGCATCGCGAACTGTCGCATTTTTCGAAGGCAAACATAGCTTACGTTTGATACATCCGAGTTGAGGGTTGCCAGAATAACCAGGCAAGCACGCGCAGCTTGGATGATGATTGTTGACGTAGCATTTGGCGTTAGATCCGCAGTTGCAAGGATTTATACAGAGTCCGTTGAAGCACGACTCGGTACCAGCGCATTCGCTGTTAGATCTGCACTGCACGACGATCGCCGGTGGTATACACTCGACTCTCGCGTCGCCCATGTAATGGTCTGGACAACGGCACACGGCGACGTGTTCGTCGACGTGACAAAACGAGTTTTGACCGCACACGTCACTGTGCACGCACGGATTGGCGCATATCGAGTTTATACATTGTCGGTCGTGGCTGCATTCGTCGTTCGAGTAGCACTCGGGTTGGACAGGCGGCATCGGCGGTACGGTCACTAGAAGAGAAGAAGAAAGTGGCTCGCTCGATAGATCCGCCAAAAGGAACAACTTGACTTCGACGACCAATAAATTACCTATCGAGCATTCGACGTAAGGATTGCCGGTATAGTCGGATGGACACACGCACTTGCCGGTATGGTATTCCGCTCTGCATTGAGCGTTGTAACCGCAGCGCATCACGTGACACGCGTCAACGCAATTGCCTCGCAAGCACTTCTGATTGTCGCTACACTCTTCGTCTGCGGTGCATCCTAATTTAATATCTGAACGGAAAAAATATTGACAATTATACGATTCTTTATTACAATTGTCCTCGTAAAAACGAACGGAAACCGAGTAAGACTTACCGATTCTCTTGCATTTGCCATTGGAATCAACGACGGTATCAGCTGGACACTGACAGATCATCGTACGCACGGGCACAGTGCCGAGTACACGGCACTCCTGCTCCTCGCTGCAGGTGTTGGAAAGGGCGCACGGATCCGTACAAACGGCATTGATACAGGCTTCCGTCGTGGGGCACTCGCTGTCTTCGGTGCACTCCGGTTGAGGTGGCGGTTTAGTTCTCGGTTCTGAAAATCGACAAGCATAAGTATGTGGACGAATTACCGTAGTTTCGCAATCTTGGAAAATAGCATGGACCGGTGGAGCTTACCGCACTCGTCGTAAGGATTGCCATAGGCACCAGACCTACAGCTACACCTTGGCTGATGATTGCGTGCCTGGCAAACGGCATTGGAGCCGCAGCTGTCGTCGTCGCAAGCCGGTCGGCAGACACGATTGAATCGCTCACAGATCTCGTGATCGGCGCAATCCTCGTTGTACTGGCAGCGCGCCATGGTGCAAGCGATACGAGCGTCGCCCTGCGTACCCACTGGGCAAGAGCATTGGGCTCGATGGGCAACGGCGACGCACTCAGCGTCACGACCGCACACGATGTTGTCGGTCAGGCACGGTGTCACGCATACGCTGTCGCGGCATGATTTGTCGTACGGGCAATCGCTGTCCGACTTGCATTCGACTGAAATCGAAGACGAATATGATGAGATTACTCGCGTGGAAGATGTGAGAATGAATCCGGTGACGAGGATGCATACCATCGAAGCACTGAACTTGTGGATTACCAGCGAGTCCCTGCTGACACTGACAAATGGGATGGTGCTGAATGGTGACGCACTCGGCGTTCAAGCCACACCTGTTGTTCATGCACGGGTTCTGGCAGATCTTATTGATGCAAGCTTTGTCGGGCGGGCATTGCGAGTTGGAGCGACACTCGGGATGTGGTACGCTATCGGGTTGGCAGTCGATGTATGGATTGCCAACGTAACCGGCCGCGCATTCGCATACGTGTCGATGATTTTGCACGCGACACTCGGCTGTATGAGCGCAAGGATTGGCAAGACACGGGCTCACACACTGCCTGTTGAGACAAGCTGCGTCTGGTGAGCATTCCGAGTCGGATTGGCAGTGCACTTGGACGGAAGTGTCAGTTTTGACGCACGATCTTGTAGCGTCGCCAGCAAAGTCTCGCGGACACTCGCACACCATGGTTCTCATGGGCAAGGTGTCGATTACCGTGCACATCGCGTTGGCTATGCATGGTTTCGAGACGACGCATGGATTCTTGCACACGTCGTTGAAGCAAGCCAGCTTGCTGGGACAATCCGCGTCTGTTCTACACTCAGGATTCTCTATTACTTCTGAAATAATCGAAAGAAATATCGGTTACCATAGGCGTTAAGAAATAATTAGTTTGCAAAATGAAAATTTGTTTTTAATAATTGAGTGATTCTTGCCTCGTCGACAATCCGTGTAAGCATCGCCAACGTAGCCTGGCGGACATCTGCACGAGGCTCTGTGGTTGAGCACATGGCACTCGGCACTTGCTGGACAGTTGCACGGACTGACACAACGATTGTTCTGACAGGCTAGATTGTAAGCGCATTCGCTGTTGCTCGTGCATTCTGGCCTCTCGCAACGATCGTATGGGTTGCCATAGAAGCCGTCCTGGCAGTAGCAACGAGCCTTGTGAAAACCATCCACGTGGCACAGCGCATTCACGCCACACTGAGTTATCAGACAAGCGTCCACACATTCACTGTTGACGCAAGATTGACTCAACGGACACTCGTCGTTGCTACGACAGCCCACTGTTAACAATGAAGTGTAATTAAGCACATTTACTTGCAAGTTCAGTGGGCATTGGATTGATGAATGGAAGCTTGGGTGGTACTTACGTTCGCGACAGTATTGATGAGCATTTCCAGTGTAGCCTTCCTCGCACGAGCAAACGGCACGATGGAATTGTACGTGACACTGGCTGTTCTGTCCACAAGTGTCAAGGGTGCATGGATTGACACATTTCTGGTTATAGCAGGTTTGATCATTGGCACATTCCGAGTTGTCAATGCATTCTGGTTTTGGTGCTGTAATGACACAAATGGTAAGTTTTAGGATATGATTTTTGCTCGATTTGAAGTAAATCGTGAAACAACTTTCTCTTGTAAAACATTATAACTTACGGGTAACGGATTCGTATTTGCACTCGATGTGTGGACTGCCATAATATCCAGCGGGACAGGAGCATACAGCATTGTGATTGACAGTACGGCAAATGGCATTGATACCACAAGCTCCGATACAAGGGTCGCGACATTTTTGCGAGTAGCAAGCTCTGTCGCGGCTACAGTCGGAGTTAACCACGCACTCAGGATAAATGCAGATGGCAACACCTCCACGTACGCGACACTCGCCGTTACTCGAGCATGGACTTGGATTACATGGTTCTGCCACTAGAAATGGTGAAATTCGATTTTAGGATAATGAGCTTTTCGCTTTGTTTTAAGGTAAACTTGATAAGTTTTATAATAGAAACTTAATATATATCAGGAGGACTTTGACATGTTTCGGAATATGTTACAAAATATTTTCCAATGAAAGTTTATCGTAATTTTTGCTCGAAGTTACGTATAAATAATTTAGCAAAAATAATTAATTACATTTATAAAAAGTATGTGACCACAAAAATTTTTAAATGAATCTCCAATTTACATACTATTAAAGATTAATACAAATAAAAGTTTTTAAAAGCTGCATGGACAAACATTCCATAAAGATATGCTTATTTTTTACTATTACCATGATTTAATTGAACTGACGCAAGTTACTAATGATACTTGATTATTGTTTAAATTTAATGAAAAAAATATTAAGTATCAAACCATACATTTCTTATATAAATTTTCTTCAATGAACAGTTCTCGAATAAATCATACTAAACGACTCTAAATATTTATCTTTCAGTGCTGAACAAATAAACACAATAGACAAAATAAATAAATAATTATACAAACCATTTCCTTCGTAGCATTCCTCAAACGGATTACCAATAAGAGGAAGTGGGCAGCTACAGAGTGGACTGTGATTGATGGCACGGCAAGTAGCCCTAGCGCCGCAGACGTTCTCGAGACAAGGATTCTTGCAGTGGAAATTGACGCATGTCTTGTCGGCAGCACAATCCGAACTGAGTACACATTCTGCGTGGCAACCAGCAATATCAGCCGGATCACCAAGTAGTCCAGGTAGACAACGGCAGATAGCTTGTCCATTAACATTCTCACAGATGGTTTGAGGGCCGCAGATGTTGGGCAGGCACGGGCTGTGCTTTCCTATGTCTAGTTTTTTATTTATTATTTATTTGCGTTTAGTTGCCTTTGCATAGAAAACCAAAGTAAATTACTTTATGAATGAATATATTCAATTCAGTGTGGTTTAAATACAAATTTTTTGTTTTCAGAGCGTCGATGTTATTAGTAGAAGATATTTCATTGAACCACGAAAACTTAAGTAATAATTGTGAAAAGCACACGAGCTATAGAAACTCACCAGTTGGCTCTTTACACTGTGTGAAGGCATCGCCCACGAGTGGATACGGGCACGAACAGATAGGCACGTGATTAGACACTGAGCAAACAGCGCCAATACCACAGGTACCACTGCAAGGGTCGATACACTTGTGCCTGAGGCACGCCTGTGAGTTGGGACAGTCAGTATTGGCCACGCACTCAGGGTGACATCCGACCCATGGATCCCCACGATGATCCGGAATACACTCGCAAATTGCCGAGTTATAGCGTTCTCGGCAATAGGTATTGACACCGCACGGTGATGGGAAGCATGGGCGCTGCTGAGTTGATGGAGGTGTTGGATCTACATCTGTAAAAGTTAGGCGATGATGTTTCATTTCTGTGCAATAGTGTTGTATTCTTTTACAGAGCATGCAAGTTGATTGCGAAAATGGATATCGGTGGAAAGAAAGTTCGTGATAAGTGTTTTTTCTGAACTCTTTGAAAGAAAGAATATTTAGGTTTAAGAGCAAATATATATTTTATTATTAGATGTAGTGTTAATATATCCGGCTAATATATCCAAATACTTGGTCTTAAAAAAAACGACACTGAAGTTTTATTTTACAGTATGAACTTGCAGTGCAAAGATTACACAGTGCATGTTTGCATTTATGTTTTATTCACAAAATTCCTATAAATTCATATACAATGTGCATATCACATTTTTTTGTGTGAAATAAAAAAAGCCGTTTGCATGTATTTAAAGTGCTCTCATAGAAAAATATTTTAATTAACTACAGTGTATAAATTGTTTACACGTATCGTGTTTATAAAAGAACTTCTTCCAAACGAAAATCCGGCCAAAAAAGAAGTTAAAAATTAACAATCGATTCACTAGCTTATTAAACAATTGAACGATTGTCTAGATGTTCTTCTTTTCGGCTACGCTTAATTGAAATACCACTCTGAAATGTCAAAGAGCGATTTTTCCATTGCGTGAAATTGCGGAGAAGCAATTGAAAACTATAAAATACACAGGCAGAATAAATAAAAGCATCAATTACAAAAAAAATGCATACAAAAAACATACATATATAAGAAATATAAGCTAAAATAAAAAATAATATAATATAAGTATAACACAAAAATAGGCATGCAGATCAATTAAGCTAAATAACTGAAACACAGAAATGAGAGACACATATTTTGGAAACAGAAATTGTAAGATAAAAAAACATGCAAAGTATGTACAAAGAGAATAAAGAGAGGCAGAAAAACATATAAAATACAAAACTCTGAAACAATAAAAACAAATGATTCATTTCTGGTTTAAACATATAACAATATTCGCTGAAAAAGCCTTACAAAATAAACTTATAAATAATAACGTCACGATGAAAATTCACGAATGAATTGGGTGCGATGAAAAAAAATTCTTACTGGTAACGCAGGCAACAAATGGATTGCCCACTAATCCAGGAAGACACTCGCAGTTAGCTCTATGAGCAATGGCTTTACATATGGCAGATGTGCCACATGGTCCATTGGTACATGGGTCAACACACTTCTGTCGGAGGCAGGCGCGATCGTAAGGGCAATCACTGTTGACGTAACACTCGGGTCTGCAGTCTTGATTGCCAGTGCCAAAGTAGTTGGGCAGACACGAGCACAGGGCTTTTGTGCCGTTGAGTGATGATTGGCAGCGACTGTTGGCACCGCACGGCGATGGGTGGCAAGGGTCTGCGGGTCGGGGGTTGGGTTCCGGTTCTGGTTCTAAAGGGATAGCAATCATTCTAATTTCTCACACAACCAACCTTTATTTGTTTAATTTTTCTCGCGGTAAAGGTTGATGATCAATCCTTACAGCACTATCGCCAAATCAATATTGCATAGAGCGACATGATCTAAGATTAAAAATGTTACCAACGCAAGGGGAAAGAACTCGTATCGTTCCATTTACTTACTGTTGCAATAGGTGAAGGGATTGCCGGTGTATTCGGCTGGGCAAATGCAAATTGGGTTATGATTCCTAACGTAGCATCGGGCGTTTGGTGCGCAAGAGCCAGGACAAGGATCTCGACAATGTTGATTGATACAAGCTAAAGATTGTTCGCAGTCAGAACTGACGAGGCACTCAGGCCTACAGTAAGGTGGTTCACCTAAGTAACCTTGCTGGCATGTGCACATAGCTTGATCACCATACTCGCGACACACAGAGTGTGGACCGCAAGGTGACAGTGCGCATGCTTTAGCATTTGGAGGTTTTTCTGTGAAGATAGGACCGTGTTTGGTAATGAGTAAGTTAAGCTGACATCCTTTATGCGGAATCTTACATTTTGGCATAAATATTCAAACGTAAAATCATTACGGAATGAAGGAAAATAATCATTAACGTAAGATTTCACACAAAAATTTGGATTGTATCATAAACTTACTGGTTATCCGGTTACATTGACTAAAGGGATTGCCCTCATAATTATCAAGGCAATTACACATGGCAATATGATTGATAACATTGCACACAGCGTTCTGACCACAAATACCAGGACAAGGGTCAGTGCATTTGTAATTAATACAAGCTTTGTTTGCAGAACAATCGGAATTTTGTACACATTCGGGTCTACAACTTGCGTAAGGATCACCGAAGTAGTCTGAGAGGCATGTGCATATGCCATTATTGCACTGAGCATTAGATCCACAGGGTGATGGGTTGCAAGGATCTTGGGTCGCTGGTGGTAAGGCTAAAAAATATGATGAAGATTTTAATTAAAGAGTCGTTACAATTTTGTTAGCTAGTTTTCTTCATGCTCGGCAATAAAAATCTTACTTAGTGGTTTCGAATAACAATTTGTGAATGGATCGCCCGTGTAACCCTCCCGACACGTACAGATAGCATTGTGATTTAAGGCACGGCAATCGGCATTGTAACCACAAGAGCCTGGACAAGGATCCCTACACTTTTCTCTAATACAAGCTTGATCGCTGTTACATTCGGAGTTAATTCGACACTCTGGGCGACAATTGGGTGGTGAACCAATGTATCCTTGAGTACAAGAACACGAAGGATATCCACCGAGATCTTGACAAACCGCAAATGGACCACACGGAGATGGTACACATGGATTTACTGGTTCTGGAGTTTCTAAAATATTTATGAAAAATTTAGTAAGCTTTTCACAAAAGTGAGAAGTAATAAGAGCAAACGTGGTATATTATAAACATACGGATCAATCTGAAACACTTTACAAACGGATCTCCAGTTTCCTCCGGTAAACACGAGCAAACTGGATTGTGACTAATAGTTTGACAGCGAGCGCTTAAACCGCAAACACCTAAGCATGGATCCTGACATTTCTGATTGATACATGCACGATCTATTGGGCATTCAGAGTTTGTGACACACTCGGGTCGACAACCGTTTGGACCTTCGACATTCGGTGACAAGCAAAAACAGTTTGCTTTTCCGTTGGAAGTACGGCATACACTGTTCGGGCCACAAGGGGAAGGAATACATGGATTTACTTCTGTAGCTGCTGTGATGATAAGATATCGTTAGGTTACATCGTGTAGCTGAGAAAAACAAGGTTAAAATTTGAAAGATATTGAAGCTTACGCTTGACTGGGATGAAAATACAGTGCGAGTACGGACTTCCTGTATAACCTGGTAAACAGGAACACATTGGCCGATGATTGACTACCTGACAGATCGCATTATCAGCACAACTACCGGGGCAAGGATCACGACACTTTAATCTATTACAAGCTAAGTTGAGAGGACAATCTGTATCAACTAAACACTCGGGTTTGCAACCATCGTAAGGGTTTCCGTAATAATCGGTATAACAAGAACATGTAGCTATTTCCTCTACAACACGACACACCGCATTGGAGCCACAGGTGGATGGTGTGCATATCGATATGCTTGGTCTTGTTGGTGGTTGGATTACTAAAAGAAAACATTGATCAGAGCGAATAGCGCGCATGGGATAAAGATGCTAGTTATCATCGGGACGCTCACCAGGTTTTAAAACACACTGAATAAATGGATCTCCTTGGTATCCCGTGCGGCATGCGCAATTGGCATTATGACTAAGTACCGAGCACTCGGCATTTGTGCCGCATGAGCCTGGGCACGGATCTGTACACTTATAATTAATACAAGCTAATTGACTAGGACATTCACTGTTACTAATACACTCGGGTCTACAGTTGGGCGGTGAACCAATGTATTCCGGCTTGCACGAACACGAAGCCAGATTGTTCACCACTTTACATTGAGATCTTGGACCGCAAGGTGATGGTTCACAGGGTTTCTCTTGCGAGGGAGGTAATAACGCTAAAATAAAATAAAGATGTCGTTAGATATAGAAAAACCATTAATACAATCGTTTGGATAGAGAAGCTTACGAGTTGGTATGCAGTTTATAAATGGATCACCGGTATATTGGGGCCGGCAACTACATATTGGAGAATGATTAACAACTGTACATAAGGCTTCGAAACCGCAAGATCCTGGACAAGGGTCCATACATCTAAAACTCTGGCAAGCGCGGTTCTTCGGACAATCGCTATTTACAACGCACTCTGGCCTGCACGATGGAGGAGTGCCCGAGTAACCAGATAAGCAAGTGCATACGGCTTGATTATTGAACTGTCGACAATCACTGTTAGGGCCGCATGGTGATGGATTGCAAGCATCCACGCGTTCGGGTACTAAAAAAATTATTATCACGCTTCATTTAAATGGACATTCTTCAGTGTTAAGGAGTTAGTCATCACTGGGAAATGAAACACTCAACTATATCGAAGATTGACGCATAGAGCAAATGCGTTTCCAGTCATATCTGCGGGACAGCTACACATTGGCAAGTGATTGACGACTGTGCAATCTGCGTTTGGGGCGCATGCATTTACGCAGGGATTCATACACTTGTTACGAATACAAGCTTTGTCGCGCGAACATTCAGAATTTTGAACGCATTCGGGTCGACATCCGCTGTATGCGTCTCCAAAGTATTCTGGTAAGCATGTACAGATTCCTTCTCTACATTGGGCATTTGAACCGCAGAGAGAGAATGTACACTGTTCCTGGGGAACGATTGCTGGAAATACAATTAATGAGAGATTTATATTCACAGTAAAAATGAGAATTATTATTATAATATTAGATTTTATTGCATTCCTGAAAATGTAAAATACTCATTAAACTAACTAAAAATGCAATTCAAGAAAAATACAAAATATTATATTTATTATTTTGATATTCATATCACAGTGAATAAAATTATTGTACAACATATACATAAATCTCAGTCTAGTAATAATTTATTCATCATATATTTATTATTAATCATAATAAAAATCCTTTGACTAGATTCTTCCCATGTTACTTACGTGATTCTATTGGTTTAGGATAGCAATTACTAAACGGATCTCCTGTAAAACCTTCAAGGCAAACACAATTTGGTACATGGTTCAATACACTGCAACGTGCATTAGAACCGCATGAGCCTGGGCACGGATCTCTACATTTTTCTCGGATACAAGCTTTGTCACTTGTACAATCTTGATGAATCGAACATTCTGGTCGGCAATAAGGTGGGGTGCCAATATAATTATTTATGCAAGTACATACTGCATTATCTCCGATTACTCTACACAATGAATTTTGACCGCATGGTGATGGATTACACGGGTCTTTTATTTCTGCTTCAACTATAATTAAAAATACATTTAGCATATCTCTAGCGCTGTACAAATGTCAGAAATTATGATTTGATGACAATGCCTACCAGGTTCTTGTAAAATACATTTGCGGAATGGATCTCCTGTCATTTCGATTGGACACATACATATTGGACTGTGATTGATAATTTTGCATAGAGCTCGCACACCACATGCGCCTTCGCACGGATTTTTACATTTTTGATTAATACAAGCTAATTCTGCACGACATTCCGAATTCAATACACATTCAGGTCTACAATTTGGTGGACTTCCTGTAAATTCCGGTTTGCATGTGCAGATTGCTTGGTCATTGTTCTCGCGACATATAGAATTAGGTCCGCAGGGTGATGGTGTGCATGGGTTGACTGATGCCGGCACTGAAAAAAAAAAAAGAATAAAAAATATTTCGTTAATTACTACTAATTTTTCATTTGATAAACGTACATTCTGGTTCTGTTTGTAATGTACATTGTGCATATGGATTGCCGAAGAAACCTTGTATGCACACGCACATAGGCAAATGATTGACTACTTGACAAACGGCGTTTAAGCCACATCTTCCTGGACATGGATCTTGACATCTAGTATTAATACAAGCTCGATTGGCAGGGCAATCAGAATTAACTATACATTCTGGCCGGCAACCGTCATAAGGATTGCCTACATAATTGCTCATACAAGAGCAGGAACCTGCTTCATTTTGTGTACGGCAAATGGCATTCACTCCGCATGGAGATGGTTCACATGGTTCTGGTTTGTACACTGTTAAATCATGATTTCAGTTAGAAAAATATCATTTGAATTGATTTTATACAATACATATGCTATATGATAATGCTCACATGGTTGTTGGCTACATTCTACAAATGGATCGCCGACAAAATCTTGCACGCAATTACATTGTGCTATATGATTGACTATGCGACATTCAGCATTTTTACCGCAAGAGCCAAGACAAGGATTTACACATTTCTGGTTGATACAACTTAGTTGCGTGCTACATTCATCGTTATTTACACATTCAGGTCTACAAGATGGTGGTAATCCCTGAAATCCAGGGTTACATGAGCACGATGGCGAATCGTTTATTACTTGACATTGTGAGTTTGGACCACATGGTGATGGTATGCATGGATTAATTGTTAAACTAGGAGACTCTGGCGCTGAAATTAATCGTTAAAAATTTAGTTTTATTATCCATGAATCAGTTGAAAATAGTCTTTATAATTATAAAAATAATTAACTTACGTATTGGCATGCATTGAGTGAACGGATCTCCTGTGAGAATTGATGGGCAACTACATATAGGATTATGATTTATAACTTGGCAGTGTGCGTAAAGGCCACAAGTGCCTGGACATGGATCTGTACACTTTTGATTAACACAAGCTTGATTCTGAAGACAATCGGAGCTTGTCAAACACTCAGGTCGGCATGTCGGTGGACTGCCAATAAAACCTACAGCGCACGTGCAAACTGCCTGATAGTTTATTTCTTGGCATCTACTGTTTGGTCCACAAGGAGATGGTGTACACGGTCTCGTCGGACCTGGAGCTAAAAATGATATAACATGTTTATTTACCAAAGCAATATTCTCTTTATTTAGGCAATATTGCAAAAATACTTACGGTTATATGCAACGCATGTTGTAAATGCATTTCCAGTTGTACCCGATGGACAACTACACATTGGCGCATGTTTGATAACCGTACATTCAGCGTTATAAGCACAAATTCCAAGACATGGATCTTGACATTTTCTTTGAATGCAAGCTTTATCATACGGGCAATCATCGCTTACGACACATTCGGGTCGGCAGCCGATATAAGGATCTCCTGAATATTCTGGCATACAAACGCAAATGCCATCTTTACATTGTGTATTAGATCCACATGGTGATGGATTACAACGATCAACTATTGCTGGCTGGACTGTAAAAACATTAAGATAAACAGGTATGTAATCTTACTAATGACTATCAATTTTTTTCGTAGAATCTATTTTTTACAACTAACGTTCTGGTGGTCTTGGAAGACAATTTTCGAATGGATCACCAACGTAACCCTCGGGGCAAGTACACATTGGCACATGGTTAACTACTAAACATTTAGCACTGATACCACAGGAACCTGGACATGGATCTCTACATTTCTCGTTTATGCAAGCTAGATTTGCTGAGCATTCTGAATTTATAGTGCATTCTGGCCTGCAGTTAGGAGGCGTTCCCACATAATTGTTATTACAAGTGCAAGCTGGTGTACCACTAATATCTTGGCATATAGAGAATGGACCACATGGTGAAGGAACACATGGGTTTGTAGGTCGTTTTACCGATGGAGGGGCTGAAAATATTATTGTTTATTTTAAAATTTTACAAAAAAATCATAACTTATCGCTAATAAAATATATCATCTCTTTACATACCAAGTGTTTGATAACATCTCGTGAATGGATTTCCAGTAAATCCATCATTACAACTACAAATTGGACTATGATTGATAACTTGACACTTAGCAGCAAGACCGCATGAATTTGAACATGGGTCTACGCATTTATTATTGACGCAAGCCATATTAGTTGCACATTCTGAGCTGATTGTGCATTCAGGTCGACAGAATGGTGGACTTCCCAGGAATTTTTGTAAACAGGTGCATACGGCTTGTCCATTAGACTCGCGACATTGGCTGTTTGGACCACAAGGAGATGGAACACATGGCTGTACAGGTGGTTCAGCTGTTGGAGTATGTTTATAAATTAACTTGTAACAACTTATTTTAAATGTATTTCATAGTTATTAGTATATAACGTACGTTCTCTATGAGGTAAACAATAACTAAATGGATTTCCAGTGAAGCCAATATTGCAAGTACACTGAGCCACGTGATTTATTACATGACATATAGCATTCTGACTACATATTCCAGGACATGGATTCTGACATTTTGAACGAATACATGCTTTGTCAGCTGGACAATCTGAGTTGATAACACACTCTGGTCTACATCCATCGTATGGATTGCCTATGTAATCTTGCACGCATGTGCAAGCTCCTACTCCATTCTGTGTACGACAAACTGCGTTCGTACCACAAGGCGATGGTAGACAAGGAGTAACGAGGTTTGGCATCATTACATCTATGAAATAATAAAAATGAGACAATTTCACTAAATAATACAAAATTGTACGAAAACAGAAAAAATGGTATTACCTTGAATAGGTGCGCATCCAGTGAATGGATCTCCATAATAACCAGTGAAACAAGAACACATTGGTGTGTGACTAACCACGCGGCATTCGGCAAAAGTACCACATGAACCTGGGCAGGGATCACGACATTTTGCATTTATACAAGCTAAATGAGTTGGGCACTCGCTGTTGCTGACGCATTCTGGTCGACAGTTTGGTGGAGTGCCTTTCATTTCTGGCAAGCACGAGCATGAAGGTGCACCATTCATTACTTGACATTGTGAATTAGGACCGCAAGGTGAAGGTATGCAAGGATCAACAGTTGTTGATTTTGGCGGTTCAGCTGTTAAAATTAAAAATTATTGTAATTTATTGTACTTAAAAAAATATTTTATTTACATAGCTGTTTCCTTTTCTAACACATACCCATTGGTCTGCATAAAGCAAATGGATCACCAGTCAAACCATCTTGACAACTGCAAATCGGATTATGATTGTTCACAGTACAACGTGCATTTATGCCGCAAGTTCCTTGACATGGATCTATACATTTTTGATTATTGCATGCCTTCGTTAATGGACAGTCTGAGCTCAATATACATTCAGGTCTACAGTTCGGTGGTAAGCCTAAGTAGCCAAAAACACATGAGCAAACAGCTTGACCATTTACATTGCGACATTGGCTGTTCGAACCACATGGTGATGGATTGCATGGATTTTCAGCTATTGAAGAAGGTTTCGGATAGCAAGCAACGAATGCATTACCAATCATGCCATTAAAACACGTACAAATTGGAATATGATTTACAACTGCGCATTCTGCATTTTGTCCACAAATATCAGTACATGGATTAGTACATTTTTTATTAATACAAGCTTGAGTTCTTAGACAATCTGTATTTAAAACGCATTCTGGTCGACAACCAATATATGGGTCACCATGGTAATCAGGTAAGCAAGAGCATCCATCACTTGTGCATTGTGTATTCGATCCACAATTTAAGCATAAATCATTTGGTTTATCATGTATCACTGTAAAAGAAAAATAAGAAATTCATCAGTAATAATTACACGTCTGATGTTATAATTGTATATTGATGTCAAACTTTTTGTTAGATGTCAAATAATACTTTATTTCAATTACCTGAGTCAATCGGTTTCGGATTGCATCCCGAAAACGGATCGCCAGTATATGTTTCAAGACACGAGCATACAGGTACATGATTGTAAATTTTACATTGTGCATGATATCCACACAAACCGGGACATGGATCTTGGCATTTATTGTTGATACAATTTTGATCACTAGGACAATCGGAATTGACAGAACATTCTGGTCTACAGTAAGGTGGTGATCCTATGAAAGTAGGTGAACAAGCACATGATGCTTGATCATTAATAGTTTGACACACTGAATTTGGCCCACAAGGTGAAGGAAAGCATGGATTTGTTTTAATTAGTTCTATTTCTGAAAATGAGAAGTATTTTAAAAAAGATTTTAAGTTATCTTTGAAATAAATATTTTATAATTTTTATTAATTCATCTAAAGACTCACTCGGTAATTCGTAACATACACTGAATGGATCTCCAGTGTAACCAGTTATGCATGAGCAAATAGGACTACGGTAAATAATCTCGCATTTTGTATTTAATCCACATACACCTATACAAGGATCGACACATTTTCTATTCACGCATGCCTTCTTTGGTAGACATTCCGAGCTGACAGTACATTCTGGTCGACAATTTGGTGGTGTTCCAATATATTCGGACAAGCATGTACAAACAGCTTTTCCATTATTTACACGACATTGACTATATGGACCACATGGGTTTGGATTACATGGATCGTCTAGTTCTACAGGTTCTATAGAAGATAATAGTTTTTATTGAAAAACGGTTGATTCAAAAAATACGTAATTATGTTAGTGACAAAATTTATTACCATGCATAATACTACAGTAAGTGAATGCATTTCCAGTGTAACCAGCAAAACATATACAAATGGGAATGTGATTGATAACTTGACAGTCTGCATTTGTTCCACATGTACCAGGGCAAGGATTTTGGCATTTCTGTCTGATACAAGAAGCTAAGTTCGAAGAACAATCCGTATTTACAACACATTCTGGACGACAACCTTCGTAAGGATTACCAAAGTAATTGGGCTTGCAAGTACAAGCTCCTGCATTATTTTGTACTCTACAATCTGCATTTGAACCGCATGGACTAGGTTGACATGGACTTGTAGTAACTGAAGGTTGCGCTGCAAAGATACACATGGTTGCAGCACTATTTGAGAAAAATCGATGTTGAAAATTATGACGTAATCTTATACTTACGAATTATTATAGGGTTACACTGAACAAATGGATCACCACTATACGATGCAATACAAGTACACATTGGGACATGACTAACTACTGTACAATCTGTGTTGCTACCACAAGCATTTATACAAGGATTCCTACACCTTTGGTTGATACAAGCTAATTGACTAGCGCACTCGCTGTTACTGATACATTCAGGTCGACAGTTTGGTGGAATTCCAATGAATTCGGCTCGACAAGCACAAGATGGCGAGTTATTAACAATATTGCAATCGGCATTCGGACCACAAGGTGATGGTTGACAAGGATTTGTGGAAATTACTGGTGTGTCTGTGCCTGAAAATATTATGTTCAAATATTATATATTTAACGAAAGTTGAATCTAGATTTTTGTTATAGTAGTAACAATGATTTACACCCTAACTATAGCTTTTAAAAATACTAATTTTTACTCCTAAATGAAAAATAATTGTAAAAAGTTGATATTATCGAATCTGTAAGATTATGTAAAATCATTTTTTGTATTATTCAAATATATCCTTACTTATCTGAATACAATTGACAAATGGATTTCCGGTATACTGTAGTGGACAGTTACAGATTGGGTTGTGATTTATAGTTCTACATAGAGCGCCAATTCCGCAGGCACCAACACACGGATCTATACATTTTTGATTGTTACACGCTTGATTTTGAAGACAATCAGAACTAATGACACATTCGGGTCTACAAGTTGGAGGACTACCAAGGTAACCTCTGATACACGAGCACACAGCTTGGCCATTGATAGCTCGACATTCACTGTTAGGACCGCAAGGTGATGGATTGCACAGGTTTGTTGGAATTACAGCTAAAATAAGGATATGATTTATTATATCTCATTTTATGTATTCACATTTCTTAAAAAGGTTATAATTACGTGGTATAGATGTGCACTGAGTAAATGCGTTGCCGGTTAATCCAGCTGGGCAACTGCACATTGGAACGTGATTAATGACCGTGCAAATGGCATTTGAGGCGCAAGCTCCTGAACACGGATTTTGACACTTTCTTTGCAAACAAGCGCGATCACGCGGACAATCGGGGTTCTGAACACACTCAGGACGGCAACCAGTATAGGGATCTCCTTTTTGGAATTCTGGCGGACAAGTGCATTGACCGTCTCTACACAATGCGTTTACACCGCAAGGTGATGGGTTACATTTGTCAGTAAGAACAGGATCAGCTACTAGAAATTACGTGCATTATTGACATCAGTTCATAAAATCTTTATTAAAACATGTTTGATTTAAAATTAACAACACGAATATCTGCTTACTTGGTGGTTGAATGTTACACTGAGTGAATGGATCACCAGTGTATCCCTGAGGGCAGGTGCATATTGGCACGTGATTATGCACACTACATAAAGCGAAAGCTCCACAAGATCCCGGACAAGGATCAACACATTTATGATTGATACATGCTTTATCACTGGTACATTCTGAGTGTATGGAACACTCGGGTCTGCAATTTGGTGGTTGACCAATGTAATTATCAAGGCATGAGCAAATTGATGCTCCGTTTACGTCACGACACTGAGCGTAATTACCGCAAGGCGATGGAACACATGGGTTTACGTAAATTGGTTTTATAATTTGAGGTGCTGGAAAGTTTGTAAGTAGTGCATCGATTAAAAATATTCGCCAGTGTAATGTAAATTTTGAATAAAAAGAGCAAGGTGAAGTATTCTTACGTAGTATAGGTATACATTGTGTAAATGGATTGCCAGTGTATCCTGAGACACAAGTACAGATAGGGCTATGATTTACAACTTTGCAATCAGCACTAATGCCACAAGGGTTCGGGCATGGGTTCACGCACTTGTGATTTTTACACGCTAACTCGGGTGGGCACTCGGCACTACTTATACATTCGGGTCTACATCCAGGTGGGCTACCAATGTATGTAGGCAGACACGAGCATACGGCTTGACCGTTTACTTCCTGACATTGACTATTTGGTCCGCAGGGTGATGGAGAACAAACATTCTCCTTTACAGCTGATGAACGAAATATTTCAGTTTTTATATAAAATCTAATGGATCTTCCCGTAAAGCTCTTGCAAGAATAATCATTGTTCAGGGTTACGATGCAATGAAGGTTTACTATGTCCTCGTAGCAAACTGTTTTTGTTAAGAAGTCGTTATATAAAGCAGCATAGTGGGTGATGTGAATTATTGTTTACAACTTTAAATAATGATTTTTTCAAATATTTATGTTAGTGACGCAACTCAAATTTGTAATTCTTTAAATTTTCAAATTAGTTTATCTTTTTCGAATGGTAAGTGCATTTTAGTTTGCTATACTTTGGCGTGATGATAGTAGTACGTGAATTCTATACTTCTAGATGGCATGGGTGGTAAAGGGCTCGATAAATTAAAATTGTTCATAAAAATGAAAGATTTTAAGGCTATAAAATGAATTAGGGTGAGCTGAGTGAGATTTTTATCGTCTGTTAATTGCGGGGTAATGATTACTGCTGAGAAAAATAAAAGCAAGGCCACAACATTACACTTAATAGACGTTTTGGTAAACTTACGGGGTATGGCCATAAAATTACAGAAACTGAATGGATTTCCAGTGTATCCTAGGCGACATTTACACGAGGGCAAGTGATTAACGACAGTGCAATCGGCATTTTGGCCACATGCGCCGGGGCAAGGGTCTTTGCACTTTTTCTGTACACAGCTCAGGTAGGAAGAGCAGTCAGAGTCATGGACGCACTCGGGTACACAGCCTTCATATGGGTTTCCAAAGTAGTCGGGTATACATGTACACGATCCAACCCCATTTTGCTCTCTACAATTGGCGTTAGAGCCGCATGGTGAGGGGATACATGGGTTTATTTTTTCTGGAATCGCAGGGTTAACTAAAACATTTAAAAATCACAGATTAAGGTACAAGCATATTGTAGTTTTGAGATTTAATGAATGGATTATTTTCATTATTATTTATAGGGAAAAGCATCTCAATTTAATAATATTAAACCTAATATAATAACAATAAATTTTTACGCAGTCAATCAAATATGAATCTTACATTGTATCGGAATACATTGCGTGAATGGATCACCGATGTAGGAACTTGCGCATGTACAAACAGCCGTATGGCTGACGACATTGCATACGGCATTAGCTCCACAAGTATTCACGCAAGGATCGGCGCATTTCTGATTCATACATGCTTGTCTAATTGGACACTCAGAATTGCTAACACACTCGGATCTGCAATTCGGTGGTGTTCCAATGAAACCGCTTTCGCATGTGCAAGAAGGCGAATCATTTATGGCCTGACAAGTTGAGTAAGGACCGCACGGGGAGGGTTGACATGGATTTACTGGTGGCCCTATTAATGGTTCTGTATGTGCAATTTTTCAGTTAGTGGTTTTTCTTTCCGAAAATATTCAGAGATAGATACTTTACTGAGACGACAAATCAACTAAAAATACTTTTAGGAAAATAAATACATTTCAATTGATTTTTCGCTAAAACAGAAAGTAGTATCTCTGCTTGTAGTTTTAATTTCATCTTACGATATGGTAGACAGCTGATGAAAGGATTGCCCGAATGCTTTTCGGGACATGTGCATATAGGTTTATGATTATGAACTTGACAAATTGCTTGTTGACCACAAACACCTAAACAAGGATCTATACATTTTTGATTAATGCAAGCACGATCTTTCGCGCAATCGTAGTTCAAGGTACATTCTGGCCTACAGGACGGTGGACTTCCTAAAAATCCAGGAATGCACGAGCAAACAGCATTGCCATTTATTTCACGGCATATGCTGTTTGGACCACAAGGCGATGGAATACATGGTCTTCGATCTAGCATTGCTAGTTACAGAAAAAAATGTGTTTTAGACAAATATTATAAGGGGATAGATATTATGAGAATGAATTTCTTTAATGTACCTGGTACTGCTCGACATGAAATAAATGCATTACCAGTTTTACCCACTGGACAATAGCACGTTGGAGTATGCTGTGAGACATAACATTCAGCATCTTGTCCACACGTGTTAACGCATGGATTTTGACATTTATTTTGAATACATGCTCTATTATTAGGACATTCTGTATTTATAATACATTCTGGTCGGCAACCGATAATAGGATCTCCAAAATATTCTGGTTGACATTTACAAATTTCATTTATGCAGTTAGCGTTGGGGCCACAATTGCATTGTATTATATCACTAAGTTGTGCTTGAGCTATATAAATCAATGAACACAATTACGAAAATGCACTTGATAGCTATGTTTGAAAAATAAACATTTGCTCAATAAAATAATAATAAATTGACCTAGATTTTGAGAAACATATAATTACACCTTTCCCAGCAAAAGAATCACAATCATTCATTATTTTATTGAACTAATTTTCTTTCGACATTGCACTTAGGGACAATGTTTGAACAATTGAATAATTAGCTTACGTGGTTTATATTGACAACTTGTGAATGGATCTCCTACATAACCTTCCATACAGGTACATATTGCTGTATGTTGATAAACTGTGCAAACAGCATTAGAACCACAGAGACCAGGGCACGGATTTTGACATTGTTCATTTGTGCACACTTTATCACTTGAGCAATCTGAATTGATTGTACATTCAGGACGACAGTTTGGTGGCATGCCCAGATAATTTGGAGCACAAGAGCAGGATGACAACCCATTTACATTTTGACATAGTGAATTAAATCCACAAGGAGATGGAATGCAAGGATTTGATGGTGGTTGTGGAGGTGCTACAATAATAAAGATTTATTGTACAATTAGTTGAAAAAATCACGATTCATTCAAAAACAAAAAAGTATTATGAATTGACTCACATTCTAAGAAATAACAACGCGAGAATGGATCTCCAGTGAGTCCTAACTTGCAAGTGCAGTGTGGACTGTGATTCAAAACTCGACAGATCGCTTGTTCACCGCATTGATTAATACAAGGATCAGTACACTTTTGATTGATACAAGCAAGAGTCGGTGCACAATCAGAATTCGTCAAACAGTCTGGTCTACATGCTGGTGGTGAACCCGAAAATTCTGAGAGACAAGAACATACACCTAGACCATTTATCTCACGACACTGAGAATACGGGCCGCATTGTGTGGTACTGCATGGACTAAGAATTGATGGGGCAGGAGCTATAGGAAATAATTAATTTTTTTAGTAAAAGAATATTGAACTTAGTAAACATTATAAAATTTCCTAGCTTACATAGTGGACGGATTTGCTGACAATATTTAAGTGAATTTCCAGTATAACCATCAATACAAATGCAAACCGGTGAATGATTTTGTACGTAACATTCGGTATTCTGACCGCAAGCTCCGAAACATGGGTTTGTACATCTTTGACCAATACACGCTAAGTTTGCAGGGCAATCAGTATCTAATATGCATTCAGGACGACATCCTTCATATGGATTGCCAAAATAATTTGGTAGACACGTACATGATCCTGCATTTTGTTGAATTTTACAAACGGCATTTGTACCACATGGCGAAGGCAAGCATGGATTTACGGAGTATGGTTCTTGACCTGTTTTTGATAATGTAATTATAGTAACGTAATAAAAAAAATAAAAGACTTTGTTTATCAGAAAATTTTCTTACTAATTTGCACTGAGCAATAGTGGAATGGATCTCCTATATATCCTACTGGACAAACGCAATTAGGTGTGTGACTGATAACATGACATCGTGCATTAGGTGCACAAGAATTAGGACATGGGTCTTGACATTTTTTATTTATACATGCCAAATAATTTGGACATTCAGAGTTGCTAGTACATTCTGGTCGACAATTGGGAGGAGTTCCCAGGAAATTCGGTAAACATGAGCAAGATGGCGAATCGTTGCTAACTTGACACTGAGAATTTAAACCACAAGGTGATGGTACACAAGGATTTACCGGTGGTAACGGTGTAAATGCTTAGAAATGAAATATTGATTAGAGTTTTGATTATGTTTGTTTTGAATGAAATGTATATTGATGCTTACGAATCGGAAAACATGCTATGAATGGATTTCCAGACATGCCTTGAGGACAGCTGCATATTGGGTTGTGACTTATAACTTTACAAAGAGCCCGATTTCCACACACACCTAGGCAAGGATTAACACACTTCTGATTGTTACAAGCTTGATCCTGAAGACATTCCGAGCTAACGATGCATTCTGGTCTACAAGATGGAGGAGAGCCAAGATATCCAACAACGCAAGTGCAGACTGCTTGTTTGTTAACTTCGCGACACAAACTATTGGGTCCACATGGTGACGGATTGCATGGGTCATTGTAGACTTCAACTAATAAATTTAAAGAATTTAAAGTAAACGTGGTCTATCATTTTACTAAAAGAAATTTAAAAAACTCAAATAATAGATAGCGTACTGTTTTGAATGGGAGTGCAGAATGTAAATGCATTACCAGTCATACCAGGAGGGCAAGTGCAAATTGGAATATGGTTGTACACATTACAAATTGCATTTTGACCACAAGTATTTTGACATGGATTAACACATTTCTGTCTGAGACATGCCTTATTGAAATCACAATCACTATTTATTACACATTCTGGTCTGCAACTTTGATATGGATCACCTTGATATTCGGGTAAACATGAACAATTGCCATTATTGCATACAGCATTCAAACCACATTGCATTTCGGAACAAAGGTCATCAGTTAATATTTGTGCTAAAATTTGAACGTAAAGAGATAAATATTGAATGGTATATTAAAGAAAAATGAAAATTGAATTCTTGATATATTCTTACGTTTCTCAGACTTGATACTACAAAGTTTGAAAGGATTTCCGGTATAACCATCCGGACACAAACATATCGGAATATGATTAATTACATTACATATAGCCGATATACCACAAGAACCTGGACACGGATCATGGCACTTTTGCCTAATACAGGCTAAATTAGCAGAGCATTCGGAGTTGATAGTACATTCTGGTTTGCAATTTGGTGGAGAGCCAATAAATGTATCTTTACACGCGCAAGATGGTATTCCGCCTAAATCACGACAGTCCGCATTCAGACCGCAAGGCGAAGAGATGCATGGATTTTGTAAAATTACCGGTTCTGTATGTGATGGAGTAGCTAGAAGGTATATAATTATTATATATATATAATTATTCATATTTATAAAGAATCGTATGATCAGATAAAAGTAAACTAGAATTTCAGCAACTTACGGGGACTTTGGAAACAAATACTGAACGGATCACCGGTGTAACCTGGTATACATGTACAATGAGGAGAATGATTAATGACTCTACAATTGGAATTCTGACCACAGACAGCTGGACATGGGTTAACGCATTTTTGATTGATACATGCTTTTGTTGATGAGCATTCTGAACTACTAACACATTCAGGTCTACAGGCTGGTGGACTGCCCGTGTATTCAGGTAAACATGAGCATACTGCTATATTATTAATTTCTCTACACTGACTGTTTGGTCCACAATACGTTGTAGAACATGGGTTGATTGGGTTATTGGCTAAAACTTTTAATAGATTCCGTTACATTATGCTTTAAGATTGTTTGATAAATACTATTTTACAAAATAGCCTACCAATCGGTTCTAAAATTTGACATAATTGATAAGGGTCGCCACTGTAACCAGCATAACAAGAACAAATGGCTACATGATTGATACATTGACACTGTGCATTCGACCCACAAGTACCAGGACACGGATCCTTGCATTTCGAATTAATACAAGCGAGATTCGCTGGGCAATCGCTACTAACGATGCACTCTGGTCTGCAACCTGTATAAGGATTACCAGTGTAATCAGAATTACATATACAGGCACCAGCGCCATTCTGTTCAATGCATTTAGCATTTGCTCCACAAGGATTTAACTGACAAGGATGTTGTTCGGATATAGCAGGAATATCGACTACAAAATTTAAGAATACAATTTTGAGAAGCTAGTAAAAAAATATTTCAACATACTTATTGAAAAATAAAATAAATTACTTGGTTTAATATAACATTCAACAAATGGATCACCAGTATATTGACTAGGACAATAACACATTGACACATGACTAACAGTTCGACATTTTGCATTTATACCACAATAATCTGAACATGGATCTCTGCATTTTTTATTAATGCAAGCTTGATGACCTGAGCATTCACTATTGCTTACGCATTCGGGTCTACAATTTGGTGGCGAACCTATAAATTCGGATAAGCAACTACACGATGGAGATTCGTTATTTACTTGGCATAATGCATTCGGACCACACGGTGATGGTTGACAAGGATTAATTGGTTCAGGTAGTGTGTCCGCTGTAAGAAAGTTTTATATTATTTCAGTTTTTAGAATGAATGGATTCGACTTAATAGGAAATAAAGATATCTTACGTATAGGTATGCATTGTGAGAATGGATTTCCAGTGAATTGTGATAAACAATGACATATAGGATTATGGTTTACTACTTTGCATATGGCATCAATACCACATACTCCAATGCATGGATCGACACACTTTTGATTCACACAAGCTTGGTTTAAAGAGCATTCTGAACTAGTTGTACATTCTGGATGACACAACGGTGGACTACCAAGATAACCTTGAATGCAAGAACATACTGCTTGACTATTGATCGGTCGGCAAATACTATTTGGTCCGCAAGGAGATTTAGTGCAAGGAGATAAATTTATCTCTTGATCTATAACCATTCAAATCAGTTCATAAATCATTCAAAAAAATGCAAACGATGTCATTTAGAAAAAAGAAAATGTATGATAGAGATGTAATACCTCTTTGAGGAGTGCATTGTACAAATGCATTTCCTTCAAAACCTGTTGGACAACTGCATATAGGAACGTGATTTACAACCGTACAGAGTGCATTGAAAGCACATGGTTCTGGACAAGGGTTCTGACATTTGTTTCGAACACAAGTTTTATCACGAGGACAGTCTGTGTTGAGTACACATTCTGGTCGGCAACCAATATAAGGATCGCCATAAAATTCGGACATACATGTGCAAATACCATTGTTGCAAAGTGCGTTTGATCCGCAGAGATTAGTACTACATAAATCAACTTCGGTAGGTTCAACTATAAACAATATCAAAATAAAATAAAAGATACATAAAAGAAATTAGGTTCTTAATTAAACGATTTAAAATAAAAATTATACATTGCGTCGGTACAATGCGGCATTGTTCGAAAGGATTTCCAGAATAACCTTCACGGCAGGTGCAAATTGGCACATGATTGTGTACTATACAAGTAGCATCAAAACCACACGATCCTTGACAAGGGTCTTTACATCTTTCTTGCATACAGGCTTTATTAGGAAGGCAATCTGAGTTGATGGTACATTCTGGTCGACAATTTGGTGGACTTCCGATATAATTTGGTGAGCAAGTGCACGCTGCAGTTTCACCAATTTGTTGGCAAATGGCATTAGCACCGCATGGCGATGGCACACAAGGATTTTGAAGTGGCTGAGATGATACAATTGATGCTATAATAAGCAAATAATAAGTTTGAAACTGTTGACAAACGGATAATGTTAGAAAATAACAGTCACGTACTGATATCACGAATACACCTTGTGAATGGATTTCCGGTATAACCGCTATCGCAAAAGCAAATTGGATTGTGATTGATAGATTTGCAATTTGCATTAGTACCACAAACATCAACGCAAGCATCAGTACATTTCTGTTTAATACAAGCTTGATGCGAAGGACATTCTGAATTAACAACACATTCTGGTCGGCAATTTGGTGGAGAACCAACAAATGTTGGTCGACAGGAACAGACTGAAACACCGTTATTGACCCGACACTCACTGTTTGGTCCGCAAGGAGATGGGTTACACAGATCAGTGGGCTCAGGCGTGGCTGCATAGGTAAAATAAGTTGTTGGAATAAGTTTTAAGCAAAAAGATTCATTGTTGATTTTTATGTAAATTATAGAAATAGCTTACTAAATTGTGTCAATATACAAAGAGAATAAGGATTGCCTGTGTATCCTTCACCACAAGTGCAACGAGGCACGTGATTAACAACTTGGCACAATGCGTTCTGTCCACAAGTTCCAGGACAAGGATCTCTACATTTGTTTTGTAAGCAAGCTAAACTATGTGTACATTCAGAATCCATTATGCATTCTGGTCTACAGCCTTCATAAGGATTTCCTATATATTCTGGGAGACAACTGCATGACCCTGCATTTCCTTGGACTTTGCAAATTGCGTTAGATCCGCAAGGATTTGGAGAGCATGGCTTATTAACTTCAATGGCTAAAAGGGAAATTCTATTTTTAGAAAAAGTTGAAGTCGATAAAAGTAATAAAAAATTCAACAAAAAATGTAGTTTACTCGGATTAGGAAAACATTGAATGAATGGATCTCCAGTAAAACCTGCTCTACACAAACACATTGCCAAATGATTTGCTACGTGGCAATCAGAATTGGCACCGCAGGAACCTGTACAAGGATTTTTACATTTCTGTCTAATGCATGCTAAATTTTGAGCACATTCGTTGTTATTTAAACATTCTGGACGGCAATTAGGTGGGCTGCCTTCAAATCCAGGCAAACAAACACATGCTGGAGATTGATTTACCACTTCACATTGTGCATACTGTCCACAAGGTGAGGGATTGCAAGGGTTTATTGGTTTTTCTGTTATTATCTGGTCTACTAAAAATGGAAATGAAACAAGATAAGTAAAATCGAATACTCTTTGTAGCAGCGAAGTGAAGAAAATATTTTTATGGTAACACTTACACTGAGGTGTACAAGCAATGAAAGGATTACCGACAAATCCTTGTTTGCATGTGCAAATAGGATTATGATTTTTAACCAAACATTGTGTATTCAAACCGCATACACCTGAACATGGATCTTTACATTTTTGATTGATGCAGGCTAAATGTTGTGGACAATCGGAACTAACTACACACTCAGGTCGACAAGTTGGAGGACTTCCAACATAGCCTTCAATACACTTACACATGGCTAATCCATTAACTTCTCTACAATGACTGTTTTGTCCACAAGGAGTTGGAGAACATGGCTTTAAATTTACAACTAAAAAAACGGAATAAGTCAAGTGAATTAATATAATAATCATAGTTGCGTAATTAAATAATTTTCAAATCTATACCTTCATAAGGATTGCAAGAAATAAAAGCGTTACCGCTTGTTCCTGCCGGACAAGTACAAATAGGTATATGATTTGTTGTTAAGCATTGTGCATTCTGTCCACAAATGCCTATACATGGGTCAACGCATTTGTTTCGAATACACGCTTTATTAAATGGACATTCTCCATTTACAACGCATTCTGGTCTACAACCGATTGACGGATTTCCCGAATACCCTGGTTGACATGTACATTCTCCATCATGGCAATTTGTATTAGGACCACATGGCGATGGGTTGCATAAGTTAATTATTTCTGCATCCATTACTAAAATATTTTAAAAGTAAACGTTAATTTTGAAATATACTTAGTGTAATGAATGCTATTTTGAAAATTATATAGAATATACTTGGAGCATTAATATGACATAAATTGAATGGATCGCCCGTGTATCCCTCGGGACAAGTGCATACAGGAGTATGTTGAAAAACTGTACATAATGCTTCAAATCCACATGAACCCGGACAAGGATCGGTACATCTGTTCCTAATGCAAGCTTTATTCTTTGGACAATCAGTATTAACAGTACATTCTGGGCGACAATTTGGAGGAATCCCGAAATAATTTTGTTGACAAGTGCAAACAGCATTATCGTTAACAACGTGACATTCAGAATATAGTCCACATGGTGATGGCACGCATGGTTGGATATTTGTAATAGGATATTTATTTTCTGGAATATAAATTAAAGTTATTTGAGTTTAAGTTCTACAAGTTTGGAGTAAAGTCTTTATTAACACTAACCATTCGGTAAACAAACTGTGAATGGATCGCCAGAGTATCCTTCGAGACAGGAACATATTGGACTATGATTAATAACTTTACAGCTGGCATTTCTACCACAAATTTTGATACAAGGATTTATGCATTTCAAATTAACACAAGATTTGTCTAACGAACACTCTGAATTTATTGTACATTCTGGACGGCAACCAGGGGGTATACCGAAGTATTGCGGTTTACAAGAGCATACTGCTTGACCGTTGTTCACTCGGCATTCACTATTAGGACCACACGGATTGAAACTACAGGGATTTTTTACTTCCTCTATAGAAGCTACAATATAAAATTTTTTATTTTTTAACGTTTTGATAATTTTATTTAAAATACAATAACAAGATATAATATTACCATGAATTATTCGACAGTAAGTGAATGGATCTCCAGTATAAGACTGAAGACAGGTACAAAGAGGTAAGTGGTTTACTACTTGACAGGTTGCATATTGTCCACAAGTTCCAGGACACGGGTCTCTACATTTATTTTTAATACAAGCTTGATTTCCTGGACAATCAGAGCTTATAACACACTCTGGACGACATCCTTCGTAAGGATTTCCAGTGTAACCGTCAATACATGTGCATGATCCTATATTATTCTGTTTACGACAAAGAGCATTGTTACCGCAAGGAGAGGGTACGCAAGGATCAGTTATTTCTATTGGTAGGTAACTAGAAGCTGAAGAAAAATGATAAATTGTTAAATTCGAATGCAAATTATAAAATAATTTATAACTGTCTAATTTACGAATGATCTTACTAGGTTTTATAGTGCATTGTAAAAATGGATCTCCTATATATCCGGTAGAACATATACACATTGGTGTATGACTCACAACGTGGCATTCAGCATTAAGACCACAAGAGTTTTCACATGGATTTTTGCATTTCATATTGATGCATGCTAAATTATTTGAACATTCATTATTACTTATACATTCTGGACGACAATTTGGTGGTGACCCAACGTATTCTGGCAAACATATACAAGAAGGCAAATTATTTATCTCTTTACATTGTGAATACGGTCCACAAGGTGATGGTATACAAGGATTAGTTGACTCTGCAATTACTGGAGAAACTAGAAAAATAATTAGAATTTCGTCAAGGAACTTCGAAAAACATTTCTAGATGAGAGTTTGAGGATATTTTTCTTACATTTTTCGCACAAACTAAATGGATTTCCAGTATATTGATCCATACATGCACAGATTGGATTGTGATTGTGTACCTTACACTGAGCATTAAGACCACAAACACCGATGCAAGGATCTACACACTTTTGGTTACTGCATGCGCGATCAAGAGAACACTCTAAACTCTGAGTACATTCAGGTCTACACGATGGAGGGCTACCCAAATAGTTAGGTAAACAACTACAGACGGCTTGTTGATTATTTTCGCGACAAATACTGTTTGGTCCACAAGGGGATGGACTGCAAGGATTTCGAATTGTTTCTTCTATATTAAGATGAATAAAATATAATTTTATTATGCGTTTTACGATATAATTAAATAGACAAAGTGAAATGCAAAAATAACAAAACATACCGTATTCGTAGCAAGCAATGAATGCATTGCCCTGCATTCCCTGAGGACATGTACATATTGGAATATGATTATAAACGTTACACGAGGCCAAACTTCCACATGTTCCAGGGCATGGATCTATACACTTGTTATTACTACATGCTCGATTGGTCGGGCAATCATTATTAAGAACGCATTCGGGTCGGCAAGATACGTATGGATCTCCTTGGTATTTAGGAAAACAAGTACAAAATCCATTATTGCATTGTGCATTAGATCCACAAGGAAAAGGGAAACAAGGATCATTATGAGTGATTTCTAAAATAGATAAAATAAAATAATTGTAGAATAAATATCGAACAATGACGATACAAATTTTTTCTAATCTCTGGCTTCAATCTTACGTGGTTCGGTCGTAGGAAGTATCGGTGTACAATAATTGAAGGGATCGCCTGTCATAGATGGTGGACATGAGCATATGGGTATATGATTGATACAACTACATCTGGCTTCAATACCACACAAACCAGGACATGGATTGCGACATTTTTCGTTCATACAAGCTTGATTGCTTGGACAATCAGAATCAATACTACACTCCGGTCTACAAGTGGGTGAACTGCCTATGTAATTAGGTAGACATGAACAAGATGCTAAGGATCCAACTTTACGACATGTTGAGTACGGTCCACAAGGTGAAGGTATACACGGATCTAATTCAACTTTAGGCCCTGAAAGAATTGTTATTAGACGTTTTGTGCTGTCTGTGAATTCACACTGACTTCAACTTTAATTACGAAATACGTTATCTTACTCTCAATGAATAAACATCGAGTGAAAGGATCTCCTGTGTGATCAATTTGACAAGAACAGATCGGACTATGATTGATTACTCTGCAGATGGCATTGAGTCCACAGTGATTCGGACATGGGTCAACACATTTCTGATTTATACACGCCCTATTTAAAGGACATTCAGAATTAACGACACATTCTGGTCGACAATTTGGTGGAATTCCTAAGTACGTGGATCGACATGTACAAACGGACTGGCCGTTTACGATGCGACAGTTTGAGTTGGATCCACAAGGCGAAGGGTTGCAAGGATTTACCGGTCTTTGAGTAACTGAAATTTATATTTTATGTATTTTCTGGTCGATATTATTTTGTTCCTGGCAAAATTTCATATATTATTGTTAATAAGAATAAATATTTTATATGAATACCTACATACTTGGGTTAATCCTTATTATTTAGTACTTGCATATTAAATATTTTACACTCATTTAGTCTTTTATTGTAAGCAGTCTTTACGAAAAGCAGGCACTATTTTTTCGTGTTAACAGTTTTGGTATTATTGATCTAATAACTTTATTGTGTTTATCACTAAAAAACACTGTTTTACGAGGCATTAAAAACATAATTATTAGAATTTAACCAAATATGCTATTACTGCATTTTGGTACTATCAGTGTTCTAAAATATATTTGCTTTCAACGAATGTTATGCAGAAAATCGAAAGCAACACAGTGGTGGATGCGGTGCGAAAATAAAAATGCGACAATTACAATTTCTGCAAAAACAGTAGTTGTAGTTTAATAATTTTTTAAGTACGGTGTAACATTGTTAAGCTTAGTGTACTTTATAAAATCTAACAATCTAACTTTACAATTGCGATAATTTCGTGCTTATTGATACCTCTGAATTGATATATTCTTATATTAAAAGTTGATAAAAGGCATAGCTACATTAAAATAGTGTTATATTTCAAGGCACTTAATGACGTCAAATCTCATTTTGCACAAGTGAATGAAGAACAACGTTGAGCTGTCAGACAAACTATGTCAGACAAACATGAATGAATGAAGTTGAAGCATGGATAAGCAAAAGCAATTACAACTCTGAATGAGGCACTGGCAAATAAAACGTTTGGGTTACACACGTATTTGGGTAAGCTGTTAGGGGTTGGGTTTTAATTTTTTAATGGCTGCGAGGCCAATTGATTAATCAACGAATGCGAAAAAAAAAGATCGTGCTTGCATTTGATTGGTGATTTCTAGTTGGACAATTTTGTTGAACAAACTTACTGGGTGGCGACTGATAGGGGCGGCAAGAATTGAAAGGATCGCCAGTATAGCCGGGTGGGCAAGTACAACTGGCCAAGTGATTAATAACTTGGCAGTCAGCATTGGGACCACAAGTACCAAGACAGGGATTCAGACACTTGAGCCTCAGGCAGGCGAGATTGGTCGGACAATCAGAATCAATGGTACATTCGGGTCGGCAGCCTTCGTATGGGTTTCCAGAGTAGTCGGGTATACATGAGCATGATCCAACGCCATTCTGCTCACGACAGACTGCGTTTATACCGCATGGGCTTGGTGAACAGGGATTTTGAGCTGCTTGTGGGTTCGTTGGAGCTAGAAATTGTCAGAAATAGTTACGTCACGTATAACATTTGGTTGGAATTGTTCATATGGTTATTTACTATATTCTGTATCATTTAGTCGATAATGTATGGTGAAAATTAATAATATGATCAATCATCTAGAGTAAGTCTTAAATATGAAGATAAATGGAACAATAAAATTAAAGCTTTCGACTGCTTTAAAATAAAACATAAATAACTTTTCATGTCTCTGTCTGTGACTAACATTCCATTCATTAAGTCGTACATTTAGTTACAAAAATAATTATCTTACGTTGTGGGCTGTGAATACACATGGAAAAGGGATCGCCACTGTAGCCCTCAAGACACGTGCACATAGGTACGTGGCTGATTACATGACATAAAGCATTGATACCACAGCCGTCAATGCATGGATCGGTACACCTGTTTTTTATGCACGCCTGGTGAGTCGAACATTCGGAATTGCTAATGCACTCTGGTCTACAATTTGGTGGCGAATTTATCATGCCTGGCAGGCAAGCGCATGCAGGATTGCCATCGATAGACTGATAGTCAGCGTTTGGACCACACGCGCAAGATGGGCACGAAGATTCCAGTGGATCTTCGATTCTGGGATCGCATCTGACGAAAGGGTTGCCAATATAATTGATCACACATGTGCAAACAGGTGAATGATTAAACACGCGACAATCGGCATTGATACCGCAAGCCCCTACGCATGGGTTGCGACATTGCAAATTACTACATGCTTCGTTCTTAGGACAGTCAGAATCGACTACACATTCCGGTCTACAGCTCGGTGGTGCTCCTAAGTAATCTTGCATGCATGTACAGATAGCCTGACCGTTAAACGCACGGCAAATACTGTTTGGACCGCAAGGCGATGGCAAACATGGGTTAACATTGTCGCTGATTTCTAAGAAAAGTAATTCATTGTTATCACGGTTCTTATTTGCGAGTTTTAGCTGCAGTTTTGGTTAAGCCGTATTTGATACCTGGTACAGGTCTGCACTGGATGAATGCGTTTCCAGTTGTACCTTGAGGACAACTGCACATTATTATATGATTGAACACGTTACATATTGCGCTAGGAGAGCAAGCTCCTACGCAAGGATCCACGCATTTGTTATCCTGGCAGGCCTTTGTCGGCTGACAGTCTGTATTTATGACGCATTCTGGTTGGCATTGATAGTATGGGTCACCAAAATATTCAGGAAGACAAGTACATTTGCCTTCCAAACATTTGGCATTTGCTCCGCAAGGGCTTGGATTGCATGAATCTTCGAATATAACTGACGTAGCAACTAGTGAAATTATAGCATTTAAGCATTCTTATCGGATTCCATTTTTGTTCCTTTCATTTAGTTAGTTTAGTTTATTAGTTATCACGACGGAAAATTTAGAGCGTTTTACATATTAATAAAAAAATTCTATTTTTTAAGTTCTAGAGTAATCAATTTTACGAATAAGCAAAAAGTAAGTAAAAGTAACGGACTATCGAATTAGCACGTTTGATCGATGGATCTTACTTGTAGGTTGTGGAATACAGCTAGTGAATGGGTCACCCACGTATCCTTGTTGACAAGTACACACGGGCACATGATTGTGTACGCTACAAATCGCCATGAGAGCGCATAATCCCGCGCAAGGGTCGCGACAACGCTCATTATTACATGCCAAGTGCATAGGGCAGTCAGAGTTGACAGTACATTCTGGTCGACAGTGTGGTGGCGTACCAATACAATATGGTAAACAAGCACAAGACGGCAAAGTACCGATAGCGTTGCAAGTCGCGTACTGACCACATGGAGAAGGGAAACATGGATTTATTGGCGCGATTGGTCGTGGTAAGACTTCTATATCTGTCAGAAAGAAATTCTTTGAATGAATAAGATGTTTCTCGTGCTTGATTCTATGTATGAATTATTTGAGTTAATTAACTACTTGAATTATAAGAATTTACTTAAATTAATCAAATTGTTGTTACTTGAATAATGCCAATAAGAATAAAATTTGCAAAGAGAATTTTTCAATACTTATACCGCGGTATGAAAACTTGATTTCATTAGACACATTAAAATAAAAATTTTCAAACAATGTCTAAAATGTATTTTATAAGAATTTCTATGTGTAAATTGAATGCATAAAGATGTTATTGGATTACAGAGAAATGGAAAGCATTGAGTTTCCATCTTACTTAAATTGGGTATACATCTGGTGAACGGATCTCCTGTGAATCCCGAGTTACAGAAGCAAATGGGATTATGATGAATGCCTTTGCATTGTGCATTTTTTCCACAATTTCCTGGACAGGGAGAATCACATTTCTGGTTGATGCAAGCCAAATCCGACGAGCAATCTTCGTTTATGGTGCATTCGGGTCGGCATGTTGGGGGAACACCTATGTAGCTACTCATACATGAACAAACTGCTTGATCGTTTACAACCTTGCATTGACTGTAAAGACCACAGGGTGAAGGATTGCAATGGTCCTCCGGAACTAATAAAATGAACGGTCATTTTTTTAAAGTCAGAAATAGTTTGGGCTAGTGTGTATGTGCGAATGAGTGTTTGTGTAGGTAATTTTCTATTATGGGATAGGAATGTTAACAGCTAATTCTGATTTAGAGCAATGATTATGATCTGTATATGTTTTTTTTGGTCATCATCAATTACTAACTAGCTAAAAATTAAATCTTTACGACAAAAAACTTATCTTAAATATAAGTAATTTTCTTTATCTTTTCAAATTAATCATGATAAATAATGTTTTATACAAACACATGTAAAAAAACGTTTTAAATGAAAAAGAATACAAAGAAACAAAAGTACTACTACAAGTATGAACATTAATCGATACCGTTCAACAAAAATTTATCGTTAAACTGTAAAACAATTAACATTTATTTATTTTTAATAATTTTTGTTGTCAGATCGAATAATGCATTAGTAATTAAAGTATTATGGATTTTAAAAAGAAAGATACAATTTGAGTAAATGTGTTATGATCTAGTTTCCGTAAACAGTCTTACTTCTCATTGGTTTTATGCACATTCTGAATGCATCTCCGGTGTATCCTGGCCGACAATTACAGCTTGGTTTGTGATTAAAGGGGTAACATTCGGCGTTAATACCACAAACGCCTTGGCAAGGATCGCGACATTGGAGATTGAAGCAAGTTTCGGTTGGAAGACAATCAGAATCGTTTGTACATTCGGGTTGGCAAGATATATATGGGTCACCGAAATAATTAGGTTTACAAGTACATGAACCGACATCGTTTTGTTCGCGGCAGATTGCATTGTCGCCACAGGGTGATGGAGAGCAGGGATTTACGATGCTTGGTAAATACTGTAGTCCCACTGTAAAAATGATTGTGGGTTTTTCATATTGGTCTTTAAAGTTAATAAATTTGTATTGTTTTTGACTTGATTATCTTTAAATACGAAAATTATCAAATTTTATTCATTGTTATTGAAATTACGGTGAAAGATTTTTGGTACCAAATATACAATATTTCATACACTAAGTATTTTTTGGAAGAACAAGATTGGAAAGCTAAACTTATTAATCAACTTCAGTATCAAAAATAATATTAACGTATATTTGGTAATTAGCTACGTTAATGTTTTTTATCGTATAGTATAGATTATTTCGTTATTCGAGGAATAAAATTACTGATTAATTTTGAAAAGAAACGCCATTTAGTTGTGAATATTAACGCCATTTAATTATAAGAAAGAAAATATATATTAACGATGAAGATCTTTGCAAATTTATTTTAGTTCGATATATGCGTTTTTAGTAATTTTTGCTGTTACTCGAAGTTTTGTAGATAAGAGTGCATTCGCATTGTAATGCTGAGTTGCATTAGCTCGCCAGGTGTATTAAATAAAACTTAATAGTAAAGGTAGTATATATCTTCATATTATTAGTTCACTGAAACCTATAGATAACTTATATCAGATAATTGGCTTGTAAACCAAACAAGTAGCTAAATCTTTAGTTATCAAATCACTTTCGCTCAAGTTATGGTTAAATTAAAGCTTAAAGAGGTAAAAGTCGTCCATCAAAGACGCAGTTCTGAATTTGGTTACGCTGATGCAGAAATGTTATATAAATATATCACATTATTACTTAGAATATAATTCATATGAAAATATGACATAGTCATAGATAAGCCACCTTTCGCATATAGTAAATCCATGTCAAGGGCTGAGAAAGGGTAAATCGTCAATAGAATTCTCTTATTTAGTTTTGTAATATAGAAGTATTGCATAATGTTTGGATTAATCGCATATTAATAATAGCTCACACATTGTAGACGGTCAATTGGCGCTGTCGATAGATTGCGGTAACTTTGCAGCAATAGATAGCATCTTCTTTCGTATATGTATAATATAATACGCGTAATATACAAAAAAATCCTTAGATACCAATTGGCGATAGATGTAGAATAGAGACGCAGAGAAGTACAGACGACAAGGAGACATTTGGTACTTACCTGCCTCACACACAATAAGCATGCGAAGAGGAAGAGACAAAGAGAAACATACGAGAAAAACACCATGCACAACGTCATACAGTAGAGATAGCAAGAAATAATGCTGAACTAACAGCGCACTTACCTGGTGGTTCGTAAGGCTGGCACAAGGAGAATGGATCTCCACGGAAGTTGTCGTTACAAGTGCACACGGCATTATGATTGACTACAGTACATTGTGCGTTCACGCCACATACTCCATCACATGGATTACGGCACTTTTGCTGCATACACGCGAGATGAGGTGGACATTCTGGATTAATGGTACATTCTGGTCGACAATTTGGTGGTACACCAATGTAGTTTTGCTGGCACGAACAAGCAAACGTATCACCTCGTACTTGACAATCAGCGTTTGGACCGCATGGTGACGGTTGACACGGGTTCTCCACTTGTCTTGGTGGTTCAACTAAAATTCATGTAATTGCTCAGTATATTCAGTATACAAAGTTTAAAACCTTTAATTTTATGTGAAAATGAACAACGATTTATATATTACAAATGGTGTGAAATATTTAAAAATTAGTCCGACATATCTTGACATGTTCAATTATTTAAAAACAAAATTTACAAAAGATCTATACAGTGTTAGTTGTTCGATGAATTACGCCGAACAACGTTAGAATAACATTTAATTGACAATGAATTTTTTAAACTTAATGAAACTAATTAAAGTCTCCACAAACATAAACATTTCAAATACGAACCATCTGACCAGAATGAAAAAGATAGAGTACTAGAAAAATATTCGTTCAGTAAAAAAGAGATTGAGAGATAAAGAAAGCGATTTATATAAATCATCAATTTACCTGGCATTGGATAACAAGCTGAGAATGGATCACCCGTATAGCGTTCGTAGCAACTACAGATCGGATTATGATTGATAGTCTGACATTTAGCATTTTGTCCACAAGATCCTAAGCAAGGATCTCTGCACTTGTTATTTAAACAAGCTTGATCAAGAGGACATTCGGTGCTAACGACACATTCTGGTCTACATGCTGGCGGACTACCAACAAATGTTGGCTGGCAAGAACACACGGCATGATTTTCAATCACTTTGCATACACTGTTCGGTCCACAAGGTGATGGTGAGCAAGGTTGTGTTGGTGGAACTGCGCATAAGAAATATTTTTTTTATTATTTATAAAAATAAAAATAAAATCAGTATAACTTCGAAATTATTATCAAAAAGAAATACTCACTCTTTCTAACGTGTTTGCAATGTTGGAATGGATTGCCAGTCATTTCAGCTGGGCAACTGCACATCGGAATGTGATTGATGACATTGCAAAGAGCACTGGTGCCGCATGTGCCAATGCAAGGATCACGACAGCGTTGATTGAAGCAAGCTTTCGTGCGCGGGCACTCAGAATTAATGGTACATTCTGGTCGACAAGCAGAGTACGGGTCGCCAGAGTAGTTTGGTTTACATCTACACACCTCATTTTCACATTCTGCGTTAATGCCGCATTGGCATCGATTATCTTTTGGCTTTTCTTTTTCGTCGATCGGTGAACACAGATTGAATGGATCACCACTGTAACCAGGTTGACAGATGCACGTTGGGATATGGTTCTGCACACGACAATCGGTATTCTGTCCGCAAGAACCAATACATGGATCACGGCATTTTTCAGATATACAAGCTTGGTCAGAAGCACAATCACTATTAACAATGCATTCTGGTCGACAGTTTGGTGGCGATCCGATGTAGTTTGCCTTGCACGAGCATGCAGCCTGATTACCAATTTTTCGACACTCGGCATATAATCCACATGGATTTACGAGACATGGATTATCCGGAGTTGGAGGTGGTAATATAATCTCTGTAAATGAAAGTTGCCGTTATCAGATACATTACTAATATCATTATTGTCAATATATAAATAAATAAACTTACTTGGTTCCTCGTAGCATCTAGTAAATGGTTCTCCTGTAAAACCAGGTGGACAACTGCAAAGTGGATTATGGTTGATGACTCTGCATTGAGCATCAAGTCCACAAGTTCCGGGACAAGGATCAGTACACTTATTTAAATGGCAAGCACGATTTTGAGGACACTCCGAGCTTACTACACACTCTGGTTTGCAATTTGGAGGAGAACCAAAGTAACTCTCTTGACATGTACAAACTGCTTGGTCATTAACTTTTTTACAAATACTGTTTGGACCACACGGCGATGGATGGCACGGGTTTTCTATCTTGGGCGTCTCCGTTACTATTACAAAAAATAATACTTTATTTCTTAATGCGCTTCAATTAGCGATAGAATCTACAGTAGCTTACCTGCTTCAAAAACACAACTGGTAAAAGGTTCACCAACAAATCCAGGTAGACACGTGCAAGTTGGTATATGGTTAACTACGGAGCATTGGGCGTTCGATCCGCAAACTCCAGGACAAGGATCGATGCATTTCAGATTGATACAGGCCTTGTTCGTCTGGCAATCCGAACTATGAGTACACTCTGGTTGGCAACCTTCATACGGATTACCATGATAATCCTGTATACAGGTACAAGCTCCAGCATTGTCTCTTCGCTGGCAAATAGCATTAGTACCGCAGGGCGATGGTTCACAGGGATTATGTAAAGGTTCTGGCATGCGAACGCATTGGATGAATGGATTTCCAGTGAAACTACGTAAACAGGAGCAGATTGCTGCGTGGTTGGTGACCGTACACTCAGCATTTTCACCACATGATCCAGCGCATGGATCTTGACATTTCTCCATAATGCAGGCTTTGTTTGCCGGACAATCAGGATTGATCACGCATTCGGGTCTACAATTTGGCGGACTACCAGTATAGCCCTCTTGACACGAGCATACTGGACTATCATTAATATTCTGGCATATAGCATTGGGTCCACATGGCGATGGGTTGCACGGAGATGCATTGACCTTTGGCCTTGATGTCACTGGTGCTTCATAACAGCTCTTGAACGGGTCACCAATTTGACCAGGTAGACAGCTGCAAATTGGCGAATGATTGATGACTTCACAGCGAGCGTTTATCCCACAGGCACCCAGACATGGGTCAGTGCATTTGTAACTAATGCAAGCCCTCGTTGACGAGCATTCCGAACTAACTACGCACTCGGGTCTGCAGGATGGCGGCGTACCTATGTATCCTGCGATACACGAGCAAACGGCGTGACCCTCGATGTTCTTACAAACGCTGTTTGGCCCACAGGGTGATGGGTTACATGGTTCTAGCGAAGACACAGGTCCTACGGGTTGTGGCCGGCAACTAATAAATGGATCTCCGATTTGTCCTGATGGGCACGAACATACAGGTATGTGGTTGATCATGTCACACTGAGCGTTCTGACCACAGGCTCCAGGACATGGCTTTTTGCACTTATTTCTGATGCACGTCATATCACGAGGGCATTCGTTATTCATTATGCACTCGGGCTTACAAACTTCGAATGGATTGCCTTTATATTCCGGCATACATTCGCAGTCGCCATTCTTACAAATCGCATTGGGACCACAAGGTGATGGATTGCACGGATCTCTTGGTGGTGGTGGTCCATTGCTAGGTATTGGCAAGCATTGTCTGAACGGGTCACCGGTGAAGCCTTCGGTACAGGTACATATAGGAATATGATTCAGAACATGACACTGGGCATACAAGCCGCAAGATCCACTACATGGGTCTTGACACTTGTTCTGTAAACAAGCTTGCTCACTCTTACATTCAGAGTCGACAAGGCATTCTGGTCGACAGTCAGGTGGACTACCAATGAAATTTGGTAAACACGAACAAGCTGGATTTCCAGATATCATTTGACAAAGAGCGTTTGGACCGCAGGGGGATGGATTACACGAAGGAGGTCTCTCGGTAGTCGGAAGTTCCCTTGGTATTTCGATACACTGCGTAAAAGGATTGCCAGTGAAACCTTGAGGACACGTGCAAATTGGTACGTGGTTCTTGCAAATGCATTCAGCTCTTAATCCGCAAGTATTTGGACATGGATCGGCGCACTTGTTATTTATGCACGCCAGATTGTTAGGGCACTCGCCGCTGACGCGACACTCTGGCCGACATTGTGGTGGCTCACCGATGTAATTAGGTAAACATGTACAAGCTGGTTGATTGTTAACTGATCGACATTTGCTGTTTGGTCCACAGGGCGAAGGTATACATGGATCAGGAGCTGGATATATAATTTTTGGTTCTTCACAGGCATAGTAAGGATCGCCAGTGAATCCGACTGGACAAGTACATTTTGGTATATGGTTTTCAACTGTGCAAATAGCTAAAGTACCACACTGTCCAGGGCAAGGATCAACACATTTATAACCTGTGCAAGATAGATGAGGCAAACAGTCGCTATTGAGCTCGCATTCCCGACGACATCCTTGTTGAAGATCGTAAGCATCACCGAAGTAATCGGGCAGGCAAGCACAAGCACCGGCTCCGTTCCTTTCACGACATTGAGCATTAGGTCCACATGGATTTGGTATGCATGGATTTGATGGTGGTTCTTGCGTTGCTGTAAAACAAAATAGTCATTGATGAGACATCTCATGAAACTTTGAATAAAAAGAAGTCTTATGTACTTACTGGTTGTTACTGGTAAAGTGCACTGTATTCTTGCATCGCCCACGTATCCTTCAGGACAAGAGCATACTGGAAGATGATTGTAGACGTTGCATCTGGCGAAATCTCCGCAAGCACTAATGCAAGGATTCTTACATTTCTGATTGATGCAAGACAATGTAGTTGAGCATTCCGAGTCGTGTGTACATTCTGGCTTGCAATTTGGTGGTCTTCCGATGAAATTCAATAAACAGGAACATGCAGGTTGTCCATTAATGTCACGACACTGCGAGTTTGGTCCGCATGGATTTGGTGTACAAGGATTAACAAGATTCCGCTCTGTTGTATGATCCATTAAGGTGCAGTATTCGAATGGATTACCACTGTAACCTGGCGCACAGCTACAAACCGGATTATGATTGACCACAATGCACTTAGCATTTTGACCACAAGTATCCGAGCAAGGATCAGCACAGTTGTTATTTATACAAGCCTTATTTTGCGGACATTCTGAGCTCACGGTGCACTCGGGCCGACAGCTTGGAGGTGTTCCAATGAAGCCGGTCTGACATGAGCACACTGCGTGGTCATTAAGTGTTCTACAAACACTATTAAGACCGCAAGGTGATGGATCACAAGCATCGATAATAGGTTTTTCAGTCACTCGGGCTTTTGGAGAACAACCAGTTAATGGATCTCCAACATATTCAGGAAGACAAGAACACGTTGGAGCTTGATTAACTACTCGACAAATAGCGTGAGGTCCACATACATCTAAACATGGATTGACACATTTATTGTTCAAGCACGCGCTATTTCTATCACAGTCGGAATTAGTCACGCATTCAGGTTTACATCCAATATAAGGATCTCCGAAGTACTCGGGTTTACAGGTACAAGCACCAACATTATTACGTTCGTTGCACATTGCATTAGGACCGCAGGGCGATGGATTGCACGGACTCGGCCTTTCAGTTGTTATTGGCAGTTCAATAATTAATGTGCAACCTTGGAACGGATCACCAGTAAATCCATCGTCGCACATGCAGACTGGATTGTGCTGAACAACACTGCACATAGTGTTTGGACCACATGAACCTGGGCATGGGTCAGTGCAACGTTCGGCTTGACAAGCAAGGTTACCAGGGCACTCTTCATTTATCAAACATTCAGGTCGACAATTGGGTGGTCTACCGACAAAGTTTGGTAAACACGAGCAAGCAGGAACACCATCAACGGCTCTACAGTGTGAATTAAGACCACAGAATGCCGTGGCACATGGATTTTCTGGTGGTAAATAAGGCGGAGATGTTTTGCCTTCCTCCTTTATACAAGTAATGAGTGGGTTACCGTTGTAACCGTTCGGACAAGTACATACAGGATTGTGGTTAATCACTTGGCACTCAGCATCAACCCCGCAGGTTTGCACGCACGGATTTTCACATCGTTGAGCAATGCAAGCTCTATTTTGTGGACAGTCGGCACTCACGACACATTCTGGTCGACAAGCTGGTGGAGTTCCAATGTAATTCTGTTGACATGAGCATACAGCGTGTCCATCAATAACGCGACAACTACTATATGGACCACAAGGTGATGGATCACACGGATTCGTTGGTATAACCTTTGGCGGTTGTGATGGTGGCGGATGACAAGAACGCAAAGGATTTCCCGTATATCCTGGTTCGCAAGTACATGATGGTTGATGGTTGAAAACTTGACAGTGAGCATTGAGACCGCAGGTACCAGTGCATGGATTCTGGCATTTATTATTGATGCAAGCTTTCTTGTGTGGACACTCGTTATTCTGGGTACACTCTGGCCTACAGCTAATCTGAGGATTACCAATGAAATCAGGTGGGCATGTGCATGATCCAGCATTGTTTTTTTCTGTACATATAGCATTTAAACCACATGGTGATGGGTTGCATGGATTCTTTTGTTCCATTGGTACAACAATTGGTTTCAAAATGCACCCGGAGTAAGGATCGCCTTCAAAGCCTTCGTAGCACTGGCATACTGCTTGATGATTATGAGCTGTGCAGATAGCATTGAGTCCGCAGGTGCCTACACACGGATCAGTACACTTGTTATTCTGGGTACAAGCCAGATGATTGGGACAATCTTGATCGATTAAGCATTCAGGTCTGCAATTTGGAGGTGCACCAATCATACCAGGATTACAACTGCAAACAGCTCTATCTCCTTGGACGCGGCATATAGCGTTGGATCCGCAAGGAGACGGTGAGCACGGTTTCTTAACTTCGACCGCTTCTCTGGTACACTGCAAGAATGGATCTCCAGTGAATCCTCTCCGACAACTACATATTGGATTATGATTGCTGACCAAACAATGAGCATCCAAGCCACAAGCATTTTCGCACGGATCGACGCACTTTTGATTTATACAAGCTAAATGTGGCGAACACTGGGCGCTGACTAGACATTCAGGCCTGCAACTCGGTGGCACTCCCTGATATCCGGGACTGCATGAGCAGACCGCCCGGTCACTTTGTACGCGGCAAATACTATAAGGTCCACATGGGCTAGGAGAACAGGGTGTCACATGCTCTTTTGGTTGATCTTGAATGCACGACTGAAATGGTTCGCCCGTAAATCCTGGTCGACATGAGCACACAGGTATATGATTTATCACTTCACATACAGCGTTCACTCCACAAACACCCTCACATGGATCACGGCAATGCTGATTAATACAGGCCAAGTTACTATTGCACTCGGAATTCATTGTGCACTCGGGTCTGCATCCGCTGTATGGATTACCCAGATAAGGTGGAATACAAGAACATCTAGGAACTCCATCATAAATCTCACAGAGAGCATTCTCTCCGCAGCTCAATTCGTCGCATGGATTTCGTGGTTCTGCTGGTAAGTATGGCTTTGGCGTACAACCAACGAACGCATCGCCTTCAAATCCTGGTCTGCAAGAGCAATAAGGCGTGTGATTGATAATTGTGCACTCAGAATTTTCACCACAACTGGCGGGGCAAGGATGAACGCATTTAAAATTTGTGCAAGCCATATCGGTCGGGCATTCTTGGCTAATCATGCACTCGGGTCTGCAATGCGGTGAGCTGCCAATGAAGTTAGTCTGACAAGAACATACTGGTCGGCCCATTTTCACTTGACACACGGAGTGTGGACCGCAAGGGCTTGGACTGCAAGGCGTGGGGGGTACGGGATCTATGCGAGTATCATCTACGTAGCATTTTGTAAATGCATCACCGGTTTGTCCAGGTGGGCAATTGCATATTGGATTGTGATTGACAACTGAACATACAGCACCGTGGCCACACATATTAATGCACGGGTTAACACATCTGTTGTTCACACAAGCTTGTATTTGTAAGCATTCAGAGCTAGCAACACACTCCGGAATACAAAGTGGAGGGATTCCTCGGAATCCAGGTAAACAAGTACAAGTAGCGTATCCTTGTGGAGAGAGCGTACACCTGCTGTTCGCTCCACAAGGTGACGGATCGCATGAGGTAGGTTTTATTTGAGATGGTCCATAGGGTGCTTTGCGTTGACAGAACATGTATGGATTGCCAAAGCTTTCGGCATCGCAGTAGCACATTGGCGAGTGGTTTATGACGTCACACGATGCTCCACTACCACAAGCACCTTCGCATGGATTGACGCATTTGTGATTTTGACAAGCATGATTTAAACTACAATCGGAATTCTGCAAACACTCAAGATGACATCCTAATTCTGGATTTCCAAAGTATCCTGGTATGCACTCACAAGAGGTAACACCGTATTGTTCGATACATCTTGCATTAGCTCCACATCTCGTGAGACTACATTTGTCGATTTCTCCGATAGTTTGATAGCAGCCCCGATGCGGATCTCCGTAAAATTCAGATGGACAACTGCATACTGGATAGTGCATGACGACATGACAAAGGGCATTCTCACCGCAGGAGCCGAGGCATGGATCAGCACATTTCCAATTGAAGCAAGCCAGATGGAATGGACAGTTTTCATTGCACAAACACTCAGGTTTACAGTGTGGATTGTTAAAATTATCTGGATGTTCACAGTTATTGCACATGGCGATCGTTCCAGTATAATCCGTGCAACCACTGTGATCTCCGCATGGTGAAGGATCGCATGGAAGAGTTGTATTTCGACTGTCGACTGTAATTGTTGGGATGTGCATGCATCTGAGGTAGGGATTGCCAAAGAAGTTTTCGTTGCAATGACAAGTTGGTGTGTGATATGAACATTTGCAATAAGCGTTCGCACCACAAATGTCACCAAAAGAGCATGGATTGACGCACTTGTAATTGTGGCAAACTTGGTCGTAAGCACAGTCTGTGTTGATGGTACACTCTTGTCTACATCCAGTATGAGGATCTCCCTGAAAATCGGATAAGCACGAGCAGACCGCTCTGTCTTCAATGACTCGGCATATTGTGTTATTACCGCAAGGACTAGGTACACATGGATTCAGTCTTTCAGTAGGTGGCCCGTATGGTTCGGAACATCTGTATAGAGGATTACCTTCCAGGCCATGAGAACATCTACACAGTGGATGGTGGTCTTCCGCATGACATTCGGCATTAATACCACAAGCGCCCTGACAAACTTCTTGACATCTGTAGGCGATGCAAGCATGACTTGAGGGACACTCGTCATCCGAAAGACATTCAGGTCTGTCGCAGCCATTTGGACTCGTCGGATCGCCAGCAGTACCAAGATAACATTCGCAAATAGCTCGATTGTCAGCAGTAATCTTACAATCAGTATTGCGACCACAAGGATTTGGATGGCAAGGTGTCTTTGGTGGCTCGTGACATCCTTGATATGGATCTCCATAGTAACCGTACTTACAGTAGCAGTACTCTTGATTGTCGGTGACGGAGCAGTCAGAATTTTCACCGCATGGTCCAGGTTGACACAGAGTCACGACATTTCGAGAATTGCAACTCTTGTAAGGATTGCCAAAAGTTCCGTGAGGACAGAAACACGGTGGATTTCTGTTAGAGTCGCAAATAGCACCAACTCCGCAGAGATTAGGTTCGCAAAGATTGGTTTTGGGTATGCATCCTCTGATTGTATTAGGACTTTCGACGAATCCGGGAAGACAGGTACACTTTGAGAAACCATTTTCTAGAACTGTACATTGCGTATTCGGACCGCAAGGTGAAGGATTGCAAGGAAGGTTTCTAAGTTCACACGGTGAATGTGGTGGATCACCTTCATAACCGGGCAAGCAAAAGCATGTAACTTTGCCACTAACTACTCTGCAACCTGCATTGAAACCGCACTGATTATACTGGCACTGGTCGCCTTCAGGGACTGTGAAAAAATTATTAAAAACGTTAAATGCATGATTTGACATCAATTGATACGTTCAACTAATTTAGCAATTTTATAAGCATTACTTACTACACTGTTCGAATGGATTTCCAGTGAGACCCTTAGGACAGTAGCAAATAGGACTACCATTGTCCACTTCGCAGAGTGCATTCACACCGCAAGGATGTTGAGCGCATGGATTGTGCGAGCTTATTGTACAGGCGATTTCGGGTCGACCTTCGTAGCCAGGTAGGCACCTGCATCGAGGATTATAATTATCTGCGTAACATTCGGCATTCTCACCGCAGTGATCGTCACTGCAGACATTCAAACAACGTCTTGATTGACGATCACACAGTTTTTCTGGTGGGCAGTCTTCATTATATTGGCACACATTCTTTGGTCCTTGTACTGTAAAAAATATAATAGAGCTTAGTTTCTAACCCAATAGAGATAATTTCAAGAACTTATCGATGATCCAAGCTCTTTGAAAAGCTCACCAGGAGAACAGAGAGAAAAGCCATTTCCATGGTATCCCTCCTCGCAACTACAGTCTGTAGCGTGATTGGTGTTGATGCACACAGCAAAAGCGACGCATGGATTTCTCAGTCTGCATGGCTCTTGGCAGACTCGATTGATACAGGCTTCCGTCAATGGGCAATCCCTATCGCTTGTGCAACCGGCTAGGAAAAAATAGATCGAGAAAGCCCGTATAGCCCCAAGGACAGACAGTGCAAGAAACAACGTACGCGTGTATCGCATTATTATTTATCGAGAGACGAAGGACACGTTTGCTAAACAAATCTGTTTTATACAAAGCGACGTATCCATCGAATTTTCCCACGAGAAAGCTGCTTTGGAATTTCCGATTAAGATTGGTGCTTTTGAATTTGAAAGTTGAAAAAGTTTGAATGGCGTGCCACAAAGAATATCAACTAATAAGTGCTCTGGAATATCATGCCAGAGACATGTATATATGTATATTGTATTGTACAACATTTTGAAATTTATGTACAATATTTACACTGCCATCAACAAAGAACTGAACGGTTTTGTGTCTTTTTTCTCGTTCAACGTGATGTAACTAGTGCTCAAAGTAGAGTGCAGTTTTTCATATAAATACCTTTTACACAGATTTTGGTCTCTAAGTCGCACTCCATACCAGCTGGACAGTATGGACAATGGCCTCGATCTGTAACTGTATGATAAATTCATAAATATTTTTTAATGAGATAGTTTTGCTTACTTTCTGACAATAGTTCCTTACTTTTATTGCAAACTGGTCTATGAGACTCAACGATACAGTCTTCAGGATGGCACGGGCTGCTGATCGTGCATGGATTTAAGCACTGATGATGTATGCAAGCCAATTGCACTGGGCAATCCGCGTCGGTCAAACATTTCACATCTAGTAACAAAATTATCACGTAAGAACAATGGCAAATTTAATGTTATGATTGTAAATTTGTTCTTCAATGAAAACGAATTTGATAATTTAACGAAACATATTTAATGACATCTGAATTCAAATCATTTTTTGCAATATGTATTTATACATGGAATTGAATAGTTTTTGATAAGAATTTTCTTTTTCTTATAGTTGAATAAAGTGTTAATGAGTTGTTTTTATTGGAAGAGCTGGAATAATAAGCGTCAACGCATATCTATGCAATATATGTACATTGAATATGTGTTCAGCTCATGTACTACTAATAAATAAAAAAAGCCAGTGTTTGGAGTTATAATTACAAAGCGGTTGTTTTGGAAGCGAAATGTTAGTTTGATCCTATGCATGCATGTTAGTTACATAAGTTTTTGGTAAAGTATCACACTTTTAGAGTGCAACAGATAGCACGCGTTTTTATGCGCAACAATGCAATGAAAAAATAAATAGTAGAATAGTTACTACGGCTCTGTACACTCTCCAGAATGATTGATCTAATATATCAACACATAGTTACACGTATCACAGTCGTTTATACAAAAAAATATGCAGATTTATGTACAGTTGGCACAATCAGGGATGTAATTTTTTTAAATCTTTTTATTAACATATCACGAAATGTTACTTGATTCACTTATTTCTTAGCACACGCAAGAAGGTCGTTGATCGATTGACCAAAACACCGGCAACAAAGTTCAAAGTCAACAGGTAACGTCGACCACGTATCGACAATGAACTTTGAAATAGCAGCTGCTAAATGATAAAACATGCTTATAACAATATTGTGTAAACTATATGTCTAAAAGACGCGTCTATTAGAACATCATAGAGACAGATGTAATGGTAAAAAAATCGTCATGTACAGTGATTGTGTTTTTGTGGGATGGTAATGAAATCTGTGTGCTTTGATGTGTACAATGGACACGCTGGAGATTGCATAAAGTGGAAGGTTTGTATTTTTACGTAGGGTATACAAGAATTTGAAATAGCTGTCATAGATTAGAGCTTAAGATAATAAAAAAATAGTAATAGAATTACTTATAACTATAGTGACTAGATAGATGAGATACAATTTTTACTTTTAAATCGACCTTAAAAGTAAACACTAAATTTAAACTGAGATATTAAATAGACTTATAGAGTACAGATTACATCAATCAACATAAACTATGAGAATTTTCTATTGACTAGCCAATACTACAAAAATACTTTTCATGACACCTTTTTTCATTAAACAGTCGTCAAGAGTTTCTCAACGTTCTCATGAATCAAGTGTTATGAAAAGAGTAAAATGAGTTACCACTATATTGAATAAGTAAATAAAGGTTTACAAGTACAACAAATAATCTAGCAATCAAGAGAAACAGTAACAACAAAGTAAATAAGAGATACACTAAGTATAGAATAGAGATGATACACACAGAGAGGCGCATAGACAAATAATAAATACGCTGCGTGGCTACACTTTGACAGAAACAGAGACGGAGAAAAATAATGACAGATGCTGAAATAAAATGAAGGACAGTAGGCTTAGAGCTAGGCGTAGAGCTAAAAGAGGCGATGAAAAAATAGAGAAACAGAAGAATGACACGAGTGGCTCGACGGCGTTTCTTTTTTTTTTATTTTTCTTGCGGCGTCACTCGGGAAAATTACCTTTCATGCATCCGTACTTAGTGTCAGGCACAAAGCCAGGGGGACAGAACTTGCAGATTGGCTTGTGCTCCTCAACGTAGCAAGGTGCGTCGGCGGGACAGGCCGCCTCGGCACAAGGGTCCACGCATTTGTAATTGCGGCAAGCCAAATCCCTCGAGCACCCGGCGTCTCTCAGACAGATCGATAGCGTCGGACTGCAGTTCTTCAGACAGACGCAGACTGGCTTGTGATCCAGAACTTCGCAACTCTTGTCGGCGGGACAGGGTGGCTTGTCGCGAACGGTGCACGGATTCTGACATTTGCCGTTGACGCAAGCCTCGTTGGCAGGACACTCAAAGTCGCGTCTACACGATGGAGTGTCGGGCGCGCAGGCCAACTCTCCGAGCTCGTTGACGACGAATCCGTGCTTGCAGACGCACATAGGCTGGTGGTTGCGCACTTGGCAACGTTTGTTCACGTCGCAGGTGTGAGTGTAATCGGCGCACGGATCGCGACATTCTCGCGTCTGGGCGTGACATGACAACGATGCCGAGCAGTCTTGATCGGATGAGCAGCCAATACTTGGCACCACAGGTGGTCGTGGACCAGTGTCGCAGCGTGGATCTGGATTGCAAGCCGTTTGTGGCATGCCGATGTAGCATTGCGGACACGAGCATCGTGGCTTGTGCAGAACGACGCGGCAAAGTGCGTTGATACCGCAGGCACCTCGCAGAGTGCACGGGTCCAGACACTGAGCGTTTATGCAGGCTTTCTCGTTCGGGCATTCCGTATCGCTGGTGCATTCTTGCTCTATTGTTGCATCGACGATTTTTGCGTTCGCCAGCGATTCCGTTTTTTGATAATATGCATATTCACAGTGACGAGGGAAGTTGGTGAGAAATAAAAAAAAACAAAGAACAAAAGCATATATAAGAACTGTGAAAGGAAACGTTCTCACAAGTAACACATTGAACCATGCTTTGCTTTGAAAGAGATCGGTGCGTTATCGAGAGAAGTGGAAGTGAATCACGCACGATCGAAAATAATAATTTTTGCATGTTTTAATTTAGAAACAGCCGTGGAAATCGTTCCATGCGAGACTCACAAATCTTTCAGAGTTTAGTCGAATAAAACTACACATATATATACATATATATGATATATATACATATATATGATCTTAATGATGATAACATTCTGTGAAATCGCATGATACATTTTTCCACGAGTAAATTTTCACATAGAGCTGTTTGATTACTGAAAGAAGTCAAACAATTGTAAGCAGCGATATTTACATTAAAGCTCCCACAGATTCAACAGACATAAAGAAGTATATAAAAATGAGCTTCAACATATATATTCCAGCAAATTGTTTAAGCATGGATATATGAGAATGTCCCTTTTACAGTTCCCAATCTGTGTGTCAATATGTAATTGTGAATGCACTTCAATAGTGTCGTGTTGCATCAGACCACCAATCAAAAGATACGTGTATCTCTCCTTATCAAGGAACAGTGACCTTTGCTTTACATCGTTATTCAAAGAAAATTATACGCTTGGCGTACCGTGCAATATTAAACAGATTGGACACTGAAATAAACATTCTGCATATGTGGCTAGAAAATGTGTGAAACGAGTATGAGCGTGTTCTGTTTCAGCTTGGACTATGTACAAATCATGTATGTATGATATAATTAAATGTGACTAGACGTTTCACTTGTATATACACAACATCATCTTTCTTTGTCAACGACGGAACTTTAGCCGAATTGTGCAAAAATATAAATGGATAGAACACTAGCTTTAGCTTCGCTCCAATCACATCTGTCTCTCATTGTTAACAACAACAAAATCCACTGAATTAATCTCAATTACAAACATAATAATTATCTAGATGATATTGCAGCAGTGTCTACTGAAGAGACAATACACAAAGATTTTTAATCTACATAGCATAAATTGTTCTGTTTGATAAAAGGAACTCTGCTGGTACGCTTGTTTTGCTGTACTCTGCTTAATTTTCTTTTATTTTTAATAACTCGCTAGTCACAATTGCTGTACATAGAAAAGTTAAAGAAGAATTGTAGAGCGCATTAATAGAACCTCATGACTTACCTTTTGTGCATTCAATGTCCGCTGAACCGGTTGTACCCGGAGGACATCTGCACACGAATAACAAGCCGTCGCGTATGCATTCTGCATTTTTACCGCAACCAACTGTTCGACAATCGTCAGATTTGTCATCTGCTTTACCTAGGAATGTTTTGTATAAAGCAACATTACACTCGGTGGCAACATGAACATACCGAAATTTCGGTGAACACGGTGAATACAATATTGAAATGAAAATATCGTTTTTTTTTCTTACAGGCATGATGCGGATCTCCACTTGGATAATCTGTCGGACAGTAACACTGAGGTTGATTTTGATAAATACGACAAGCGGCATTCAACCCGCATTGCACGTCTTTGCAAATATCGCAAGCACATCCTTGATAACCATCTCCATTACATCCAGAATCACAGATACATTCAAAGCCATTAGTAGTTTCTCGGCACTTAGCGTTTACACCGCATGGCCTCCTCAAGCAATCATCTCCACCTAAATTGCAAACAATCTTCGTAACATTGAGGCTTCGAAGACTTGAATCACTTACCTCGGAACGCTACATACCTTTCTTGCAGTTAACTTTGGGATTGCCGAAGTGACCCGGAGGACACGAACATTGAGCCTTGCGATTGACAATGCGACATTGGGCATTGAAGCCACAAACGCCGTGTTGCAGACAGGGATTGGTGCAAACGCCGGATTCGCTACATTGTTTATTCGGTTCGCAATCGTCATCGTGATGACATTCGAGCTGGTAACACTCTTTGCTCGGTTCGCCTTGGAACCCATCTGGGCAAAGACAAACTGCTCTGTGGTTTGATATTCTGCACAGCGCATTGATACCGCAAGGCGATCGAGCGGACAAGCATGGATCAACGCATTGACCGTTCGTGCATGACAATGCCACAGGGCAATCGGAGTGGCTGCGACAACCAACCAAACACAGTCCTCCGTCACACGTGTAACCCTAAAATGATAAGGTTTTACCGTCAATCTAAACATTCGTAAAATTGAGAAAACTATTTGGAGCTAAAGAGGCGCGGAGCTGTTTTGTTTTACCTTGGGACATTCATTGTTGATATCGCACTTGACACGGCATTTTCCTTCGTGGCAAGATTCGCCGCAAGAGCAATGAGCCTGCGTTTGGCAGCTGTTGACACAGAAGCCAGTCTCGTCGCAGTCGCACGATCCATCGCACGGTATAAGTGTTTTGGTGCAGCTGAAAACGGCATTGCCGTAGTAATTAGCTGGACAACTGCATTGCGCGGCGTGATTAATTACTCGGCAGGTGGCACATTCGCCACAATTTTTGCCGCCTTCGCACGGATCTAAAAAAAGTATTTATAGGTTAATTGTGTGCCTGCGAAGTGCGAAACTCAGTGCGACAGGACGGTTGCACGCACCTCTACATTTGTTGTCGATGCAAGTCTCGCGGTCCGGGCAAGAGTGATCATTGCGACAGCCAATGTCGCACAATCTGTTTTGACAAATCTGATTGGCCGAGCACTCGGTGTCGCTGTTGCAAATCGTTTTACAAAGGCCACCGTCGCAACGCTCGTTATTCAGACAGTTAGCGTCGCTACGACACGTCGTGTAACAAGACTTGCCGTAGCACGACTGACCAGGAATGCATTCGGAGTCGGCTGAGCACGGCAAGAATGATTGCTTGCAAGCGTACAGCGGATCGCCGACCAACCAAGTCGGACAGCTGCACTGCTTATGATGGTTCGCCACAATGCACTCGGCGTTCGTTCCACAAGCGTTCGGCAGAGAGCACAAGTCGGTGCACTGATTATTGTAGCAGCCAAAGTTATCCTGGCACTCTATGTCGGACCGACAGCCACTCGTGCAGATCAGTCCTTCGCAAATCTCGCCGCTACGGCAGTCCTCGTCGATTCTGCAGAGAGCCTTGCAAACGCCCGACTCGCAGCGTTCGTTGCTCAGGCAGTTGGAGCTGGACGAGCAAACCGGTCGACAGAAGCCGGCGATGCAGGCGGTGCCGGGTGAGCAATCTCTGTTGACGAGGCAACTCGGGCCCGGGGTCCTCGAGCAAGCCACCTTGGCCGTTGGGTTCGGTATGAAGCCTGACGCGCAGGAGCAGGTGGCTCGCCGATTGATGACCGTACACTTGGCGTTTGGTCCGCAAGGCGTTACCTCGCACGGATTCACGCACTTGTTCGAGAGGCAGGCCTCGCTGGCTTTGCAGTCCTCGTCACTGACGCATCCAGGCGAGCAGACGTTGTCGAGGCAGATGTCGCCGAGAAAACAGTCGTTGTGTACCTTGCAGGTAAGTCGGCAATGAGCTTGCGTGCACTTCTCGTTGAAAGCGCAGTCGGTGTCGCTCGCACACGTCGGCACGCAGATGTGATTGCGGCACGTGCCACCCTCCTCGCAGTCGCTGGTACTGTCGCATATCACTGGCAATCTAACGCATTCGAACTCGGAATTGCCGGTGAAGTTCGGCGGGCAGCTACACTGCTTTATGTGGCTTTTCACGGCGCAGTGCGCGTTGATTCCGCAAGCTCCCTTGTGCTTGCACGGATCCAAGCATTCGCCGTTCGAGCAAACGTCGGACAAATTGCACTCGTCGTTGGAAGTGCAAGGTGGTCTGCACACGTTTTCGTAACAGTTTCCGACGCACTCGGCGGACGATTTGCAGTGCTTCGGCTTGGGTCTGCAGCCGACGATCAAGTCGTGCGCGTCCCCGTCGTAGTCCGAGTGGCACTGGCACAGTCCCAGATGGTTCTTGGCCACGCATTCGGCGTTGGGTCCACATTTCATCGTCGCGCAGGCGTCGAAACACTTCGGGAGGCCATTCTCGTTGACGCAGATAGCTGAAAGTGGACAGTCGTGGTCGTCGGCGCATTCGCCAGGAGTCTGGCAGCCGCTGTTGTACGGATCTCCGACGGTTCCAGCTTGACAGTGGCACTTGTACGATCCCCTCGAGTTCTCGCAAATGGCGCCTGGCGCGCAAGGCTCGTCAGCGGCGCAGTGGTCTATCAGTCGACAGCCGACCGTGGCTTCGCCCGTGTAACCCGGCTGACACGTGCAGATCTGCTTGTGCCGTCGCGCCGAGCAGATCGCGTAGTGCCCGCAAGGATTGTACGCCAAACAGGCGATTCTGCATCTGTGCATGTCGCATATCTGCTCCTCGGAGCAGTCGTCGTGCGAAGTACACTCCATCTGCTGACAGCCGATCTTATCGTTCCTGGGATCGCCGAAGTAGCCAGATTTGCAGCTGCAGTGCGCCTCGTGACTGTCGACTCTGCATTCGGCGTTACGTCCGCACTGCACCACGTCGCAAGCTTTCTGGCACTCGGACTGGCCAACGTTGTTGTTGATGCACTTCTCGTCCAGCTCGCAATCGTTGTCGGATAGACAGCGGTGTTCCTGCACGCATATGTTGTTCAAGCAGAACTGGTACTCGGGGCAGCTGGAGTTGTGCCGGCAAGTTGGCTGGCACAGACCCTTGATGCACATCTGCTCCCCGATGCAATCCCTCGTGCTCGCGCACAGGGCCGTGCAAATGCCGCCGTTGCAAGAGGAGCCGATCGGGCACTGAATGTCGGCCTTGCAGTACTGGACTGGCGTGCATCCGAGATTAGGATCGCCAGTGCCGCCAGGCTGGCACGTGCACACGTAGCTGTGATTGAGGGGCGAGCAGTCGGCGCCGGTCCCGCACGCATTTTGCACGGAACACGGGTCGACGCACTTGTGATCGTAGCAAGCTCTCGAGGACTCGCACTCGCTGTGATGGTTGCATTCGTATTGCACGCACTCGATCCGTGGATCGCCACTGGTTTGACCGGGACACTTGCAGACCGGCGCGTGATTGTGCATTTGGCATTCGGCGTTGCGACCGCATGTGCCGGCGATGGTGCACGGATCGCGGCAGGTGTTGTCGATGCAAGCGGCAGTATTTGGACAGTCGTAGTCGGTGAAGCAATCGCCCGGCTGTTTGCAGCCAAATTTATAGGGGTCACCGACGAGGCCGCGAGGGCACGTGCAAACGAAAGATCCGTCGTTGTTCTGGCACCTGGAAGTATAATTGAACGACGGTTAGTTGTCATTGTGCCGAGCAACGAGGGAGTTGTCGTTGAGAAGCGATTCTAGACGTGTAGTAGTGAATGACTTACAATGCAGTAGCGTGACACGGTTTCTGTAAACATTCATTGACGTCTACGCATGAATCGCCAACGAGATGGAAACCGTCGTGACATTTGCATACCCCTACGTGATCTGTCGCAACGCAATTTCCATAGCCACAATTCAATTGATTACACGGACCTAGAAGAAAGTCGTTTATAATCGTTAATATTCCGCAGTATGTTGAAAGCGAAAAAATCAGCGACAATTCAGAAAGACGCTCACTTGCACATTTGCTGGTGTCGAGGTTGCAGTACTTGTCGCTAGGACAATCGGTATTGGTCAAGCATTCGACTTTGAAACATCCAGATGCGTCTCCGATGTAGCCAGGTTGACATTGACACGCTGCCGCGTGATCGATCACCGAGCAAACGGCATTTGCTCCGCAGTCGGCAAACGAGCAAGGATCGGTGCAGCTATGTTTGATACAAGCTTGAGACTCTGGGCAGTCCTGGTCGACGTTACACTGGTCCGGTGTGGTGCAACCAGTGCTCACTGGATCACCGGCGGTGCCCTCTGGGCAAATACATCTATAACTGCCGTGCAAGTTGACGCACTTGGCTGACGGATGGCACGGGCTGTCCTCGCACTCGTCAATGTCGATACATTTTTCCGGTCCGGCAATGAATCCGTGCGCGCATCTGCGACATACGCGATAAGACACGTTGAGAGCTCGGCCCAGCGATAACATTCGTACGTCTGTTTGTACGATAATCGATTCGACCTACCTGCACTTATTGTTGATGCATACTTCGTCGGTATTGCAGCCGCCGTCCGAGTTGCAGCCAGTTTCGCAACTGCCGTCAATGCAAAGCTCGCCGGGCAAGCAATTACTGTCTCCGTAACAAACTTTGACACAAATCCCATTGTTACAGCGCTCGCCTTGCGCGCAGTTGTTGTGCTCTTTGCACTGACATTGGCATTGTCCGTTTACGCAAGCGTGCTGACTGGGACAGTCTTGCGGTATTCTGCACGAACTGGGCACTCGGACGCAGCCTTGCTGGGCAGTTGGGTTGCCCTGGAAGCCCATCGGGCACGAGCATGTCGTCGTGTGATCGATGCAGCTGCACAGAGCGTTTGGGCCGCACACGTTTTCGGCTTTGCACGGATCTGAAATATTCAATTTGCATATTATACGTAGGCTGCAGAAAAGCGCACGACCACGTGAAAGCTCGTCAATTTCGACTGTACCGTACCTTTGCATTTGTTATTGATGCAGGACAGGGATGAACCGCAGTCTCTACTGCTACGGCATCCAATCATACAGATACTGTTTGTACAAGCTTCGTTATTCTGACATTGATTATGATTTGTACAAGGTATCACACATTTTTTGTTTATACACTTTTCACCGTCAGAACAGTCGTTAGATGACCGACATACAGCTAAAATTATACGCTTGGTTATCATTTTTAATATCGTTAAAAGAGGGACTTACAAGATAAAGTGTCAATAACAATGGAAACTTCTATTATTTTGTTAATGCTTGCAAATTTAATTCACTCAATTAATCACAAATTTTCACGATACTCTCTTTTTCATGGATGATTTGAGTAACAAAATGATAGATTTCGATGTTACATACGTTGTAATTAGACTGTATAACAATTTAAGTCGAAGTTTATACGAGCAAAACAACATTGATTAATGATTTAATATTAGTTTTGATTTATTAAATTGTACGAAAGCATGAAGTTTTCGTTTTGAAAAACAACTGCAAAGAATTATTTATATTAAGTGGAATGGACAAATGATTAATAGTTCGCAGCGACGAAGAGAAATATTCGACACATAACGCGCTGTAAGATATCGTACATCACCTTAACTTCTCATACAATCTAAAAACAACGATGAAATATCACTTACCTCGACACTGTCCATCTAGACAAACACTTTCATCGCAATCAGAATCTTGAGAACACTGACTCGTAGATCTCACACAACCATCTTGCGCGCCCTTACTCGAGGGTACGAATCTGTGCAAACACTTGCATTGCGGCTCTCCACTGACGATTTCGCACACGGCATTACGACCGCAAGCACTCTCACATGGATTAATGCACATTCTATTTCGACATATGGAGTGCACAGGGCAATCCCGATTACTGGTGCAGTGACCTTCCAGCTGGCAGCCCTTGCCACCAGCATAAGGATCGCCCACGTGACTGGCCGGGCACTGACAGATCGGTGTGTTAGACGCACCGGCGATGCAAACGGCAGTCGGGTGGCAAGGATTGGGCTGACAGATCTCGAGGGGCGAGCATTCAATGTCGGCCAGAGGATTCGGCTTGTAGCCCGGTGGGCACTGGCAGATGGCCTTGTGATCGTCGGCGATGCACACGGCGTTCAAGCCGCAGGCGTTCTTGTCGCAGGCGTCGTGGCACTGGTGCTTCTGCAGGTTGCACAGCTGCGTCGGCGGACAGTCGATGTTGTAGACGCAGGGCACAGTTTGGCAGCCCCTCGCCGGGTCATTGGGATCGCCAGCGTACAAGCCAGGCGGACACTCGCAGTTGGCCACGTGGTTGCGCACCACGCACAGCGCGTTGGGCCCGCAGCTGACGAAGTTGCAGACCGGCTGGCAAGACAGTGTGCCGTCGCTGGCGGATCTGCAAGTCTCGTGCTCGGGACAATCGGTGTCGCTGACGCACTGGTCTTTGCGAGCGCTCTGGCAGCCGTAGCGGTCGTTGGGGTTGCCGCTGAAGCCAGCGAGACACTCGCATCGCGCCTGATGGTTCGAGGCGACGCACTGCGAGTTGGCGGTGCAGGTGAAGGTCTGGCAGATGGGGACGCACTTGAGCACGCCCAAGGCGTCGGGCATGCAAACGGCAGTGGACAGGCAGTCGGAGTTGGAAATGCAGTCGGGCACCGAGGGCTTCTCGCAAGTGGAGCTGATGGGATTCCACTCGTAATTGTCCTGGCACTTGCAGGCCGCTCGACCGTGCGGGTCGGCTTCGCACCTCTGGTGAGCACCGCAGGCCACGCTGGCGCAGGGATCGACGCACTCTCGCAGTCCGTTCATGCCGAGCAGGCAGAACGAGCCTCGATCGCAGTCTTGGTGGTCGTGGCAAGCGATCTCGAGCACGGATTTGCCCGGCTGGCAGCCCTCGGCGAGATTAGTCGGGTTGCCGGAGTAGCCGTCGACGCAGAGGCAGGAGGACACGTGGTTCTCGGTGACGCAGAACGCGTTCGGTCCGCACTGCAGCTTGCTGCAGCCGTCGACGCACTTGCGCGTGCCCTTGCCCAGTTGGAAGCAAATCTGCTGTGGCTCGCAGTCGAGATCGTTGGAGCAGTGGCCGTGCGGTTGGCAGCCGCGCCGCGGATCGTTAGGGTTACCGGAGTAGCCCGGCGGGCACACACAGGCGCCGTCCTGACACACGGAGCGCGGGCCGCACTTGACGTCGCTGCACTTGTCGACGCATCTACCGGCGACGCAGCTGTAATCCAAGGGACAGGCGAGTTCGGGACCGCAGGCGCACGATGCTGGCTCTTGACAGGCGCCGGTCTCCACGAGCTGACAGCTCGCGAATGGATTGCCGAAGTAACCGTCTTTGCAGCGACAGTCGTAGCTGCCGATCGTGTTAATGCACACTGCATTGTTGCCGCATGCGTTTCCGTTACACTCGTTAATATCTATAGGTTGTTGTGTCGGGGCGAATTGGAAAAAGAACTTGCGATTAGTCGAGTCGTCTTGACGCTCGTTCGCGAAGGCCAACACCCGGGATTCAACGAACTATTACTTTTCTTACGACCGACACAGCGTTAGAGGGTTGGGTTAGTACGCACAAATATTCCACTTGGGACTATGGGTTCGTTGCAGTTTCCCCCGATCATCAATTATTTACAGCGCAGCAGAGTTTCGCCACTCGTTTGTCGTGCGTGTGTATGTTATGAAGCTGGTTAATCTTACAATCTAAAATCGCGCAAAACTTTGCAGCGTCCGTAAATAACCGTGGTCTCGTGAATATGCCTATGCTATACACTATATACGGCAGCAGAAGAAAACCACGGCAAACGCACAATCGCAAGGTGTATCCAAGGCTCCCTGACCCCCTAATCGCCACATCGCGTCGCAATCGTACGATTCGCAAGGAATCCCGCGCAATGGCGTCCCCGCGTGGATTTGTTGTTTCTTGTTGTTATAGCGTTAGCAAATTATGGACGCCGCCAGACAGCGGGAAGCGTCCGCGGTTAAGCAGCGCTCGATAAGAAGCAACTAGTCGACGAGAAGCTGGTATTAGTATACTTGCCGTAACACTGAATGAAGGGATTGCCGGCATAACCTGCTGGGCAAAGGCATTCGGCGCCGTTGGGACCGACGTTACAGTGGGCGCCGACGCCGCAGCTCACGTCCGAGCAGTCGGACTTGGGTTGGGCACCGCAACCAAGGTAAGGGTTACCGCTCGTGCCGGCGTTGCACGCGCACTTGGACTCGGCAGGCCCGTACTCGCAGTGGGCGTTGCTGCCGCATGCGGGTTCGCACTTGGGTGGTTGGATCGCTGGACACGTTAAGCGCCGTGTTAGCCGCCGCGTCGAGTCGCGGGCTGCCGGGCCCGTCGCGGCTGCGACCGTATACTCACGCGGCATGCAGAGGAAGTCGGGGTTGCCGACGAAGTACGGGTTGCAGACGCATTTGTTGGCGAGCGGGTCGCACATGGCGCCGATGCCGCAGACGACGCCCTCGCAGCGCCTCTTGCAGCGGCCGCCGATGCAGATGCTGGGCTCGGCGCACGGCACCTCCGGCGAGCACACGTCCGGCGCGCACTGGCCGCCCGGGAACGGATTGCCCGTGAAGCCCTCGATGCACTTGCAGGTGGGACCGTCGTAGCTGATGATGCACTGCGCCCCGGCGCCGCAAGCGAAGCCCTCGCACTCTGCGAACACAAGCCGCACGGGCGGGATTGAGTGGCGCGAGCGCGACGAGCGACGCGGCCGGCAAGCGGGCCAGGAAAGGGAAGAGGGAGAGAAGAGTCGATCGCACTCACCGGAGACGCACTCGTTGTTGGTGCCCTCGGCGTAGCCGATGACGCAGCGACACCAGGCGGCGTGCTTGTCCGGCTCGCAGTAGGCGTTCGGGCCGCAGGGCACGTTGTCGCACGGGTTCACGCAGCTGCCCTGCACGCACGCCAGCCAGTGCTCGCAGTCGTCGTTGGAGGAGCACTCCTGCTTGGCCTGCGGGCCGCCGCTGCAGCCGAGCCCGTAGGGGTCGCCCGAGCTGCCGCGCGGGCACTCGCACTCGTGGCCGCCCTTGGTGTTCAGGCAGTAGGCGCCGCGCGCGCACGGGTTGTCGGCGCACTCGTTCACGTCCAGGCAGCCGTACTCGGGGTCGCCCTCGTAGCCGGCCTGGCACATGCACCTGGGCGGGTCGCTGGGCGTGCACTTGGCGTTCAGTCCGCAGGGGAACCGGTCGCACGGATCTGCGGGCGCGGGTCGGACGCTCGTTAAGAGGGGGGCGCTCGCGCGGGGGGCAGGGGCGTACGCACTCTTGCAGAGGTTGCCGTCGTAGGGGTCGGTGTAGAACGGCGGCTGGCAGATGCACTCGCCCGGCTGGACGCACTTCTCGTTCGGTCGACACTCGTTGTCGCTGAGGCACCTCTTCTGGGCCGCCGAGCACAGCCCGTTGTAGGGGTCGCCGCCGTAGCCGTGCGGACAGGCGCACTCGTACGAGCCGGGCTTGTTGATGCACTCGGCGCCGTAGCCGCACACCTGACGTCCCTCCGTGCACTCGTTCACGTCTGCTCGGCGAAAACGCGGATCGTTGAGCGAGTCGTTCGCCGGGTCGCGGCGCCGTCGGCGCACCTACCTTCGCAAGATCCGTCGGGCCTGGTGCTGTAGCCCTTGGGGCAGGCGCAGTAGCTGACGCCGCCGGCGATCCTGATGCACTCGGCGCCGGCGGGACACCTCTCCCCCTTGGAGCAGTCGGCCAGAATGCACTTGCCGTCCACGATCTTGTACGGCGGCTGGCACTGGCACTCGATGCTGTTGCACTCTGCGAAAAAAATGGCCCCGCGTGAGGCGTCGGGAGGCGTCGGGAGGCGTCGGGAGGCGTCGGGAGGCGTCGGGAGGCGTCCAAGACTCGGGGAGCGTACCTTCGCACAGCGAGAACGGGTTGCCGTTGAAGCCGGGCGGGCACTGGCACTCGTAGCTGCCCGGCAGGTTCTTGCAGATGGCGTTGACTCCGCAGGCGGGCTTGTCCCTGGACTCCAAGCACTCGTTCGTGTCGCGGCACTTGCCGGAGTCCGGGTCCCTCGTGTAGCCCCGCTGACAGATGCAGACGCTGCTGCCGACGAACTCGTCCTTGACGCACTGCTCGCCCTGGGGGCAGGGGGTGCTCGGGCCGCACTCGTGCGGCAGCTTCGACTGCTCGCAGCCGCCGTCGTGGGGGTCGCCGATCATGCCGCTGGGGCACTGGCACGAGAACGAGCCCGCCTCGTTGTTGCACACGGCCCCGGGCGGGCAGGGGTCGACCGCGCACTCGTCGACGTCGCGGCAGCCGTCCTTCACGCCCGGCCGGCCCGTGAAGCCGCTCTTGCACAGGCAGGTCGCCGCGTCGTTCAGCAGCATGCAGTGGGCGTTCGGCCCGCAGGACAGATCTTCGCAGGGATCTGCAATTGGCGAGTGTCTCGGTGAGCGGCGGGCGGCTGGCGGCGGGCGCCGGCCGGCCGCCGGCTCGTCACTTACGCCTGCAGTCGTTGCCGACGTTGGGTTCGGGGCACAAGCAGCGCTTCTGGGCGTCGCACACCGCGTTGCCCGGGCAGTCGCTGTCCGAGTCGCACGTGACGATGCCCACGCACTTGGTGTAGGGGTCGGGATCGGGCACCGTGTCTTCGGGACACGAGCAAGTGTACGAACCTTCGTTGTTCGTACAAGTCGCGCCGTGTCCGCACGAGTCGGCCCTCGAGCACTCGTTTACATCTGCAACGAGCGTTCGTTTGCCAGAGAGCTGTCCTCCCTTCGCTGCGCGCGATCCTTACCTAAACATTGTTTGAAGGCGTTGCCAGAGTATCCCGACCTGCACTGGCAGCTAAAGCCTCCGGGAGTATTTGTACAGACGGCGTTCTTGCCGCAGCGACCGGACGGTCCGTTGACCACCGGGTCGCACTCGTTGATGTCGACGCATCCCGCTGCGATGTCGTTGGGGTTGTACGTCCAGCCGTCCTCGCATATGCAATAAGCCTCGTGGCCGTCGGCCTTGCAGTAGGCGTGCTCGCTACACGTCACCTCGTCGCACGGCGCTGAGGGTGTTTTGTGGTTTTCTCATGGTTTTCTCGTGGTTTTCTCGTAGTTTTCTCGTTTCGTCGGGGCGCGTCGTCCAGGGAAAGCTCGATCGGGAGGTCGATATTCGAGATGTCGCGACGCGGACGAAAGCTGGTTTCGCACGCGCTGACTTTGCGCGAGCAATTCCACGCGTGCGGGACTGGGGGGTCGCGAGCGCGCGCGTTCGTCCGGGTGTGCCGGCCGGTTACCTTTGCAGGGCAGATGCGGCGGGCTGCCGACGAAGCCAGTCTCGCATTCGCACTTGAAGCCGCCCTTGGTGTTGGTGCACACGGACGACGGTCCGCAGGGGCTCGCCGCGCACTCGTTCAGGTCCTCGCAGACTGCCCCGGCGGCCTTGAAGCCCTCCTTGCAGAAGCACTGGCCCTCGATGCACTCGGCATTGTTGACGCAGTCAAAGTTCGACTTGCACAGCGTCGTGACGTCCGTCTTCGAGAACAAATTGACGCGCTGCGGTGGGGGATTGGCCAATCGCTAGGTTGCCCGTTGGGCGCGTACTTACCTGATCGCAAGCTACTTTGGGACTAGGATTTTCGCTGTAACCAGGCGGACACTCGCACGAGAATCCAGGATCGGCGTTTCTACATATCGCGTTGGAGCCGCAGGGGTTCTCGTAGGCAGTGCACTCGTCGATATCTGGATGCAGAGAAAGGCAAGGCGTACAACATCCGCGGAAGACGCGAGGTGTTAGCGCAACGTCAACCGCGTTACGGTTAATCGGCGAACGAACGGTGTTAATGGCAAGTCGGCCAGAGGCGATTGTTAGACAGTTAAAATGATTAAACGCTAACCAGTGCAGCCCTTGTAGGGATCGCCGGTGTAATCAGTCTTACAGCTACAGACGAAGCTGCCGATAGCGTCGAGGCACTCGGCGTTCTCGCCGCATGGACTTTTCTCGCATTCGTTAACATCTGCGTGTTCGAGCAAAGGATTAGTAATTTAGCTTGCTACGCTGCCGACGCAATGACAACACTGACTTTCACAGTTGGTGAGTCCTTGGCCGACGAAGCCCTGCAGGCAGATGCATTTGAACGATCCTGGTATGTTGATGCATTTGGCGTTAGTGGCGCAAGTGTTAGCCTGTGAGCACTCGTTAAGATCGATGCAGCCGTGCACCGGGTCCATCTGGTAACCCGTCATGCATTCACACCTGAAGCTCCCCTCTGTGTTCACGCACTGTGAGTCCGCACCGCAAGGACTGTTCTCGCACTCGTTTATATCTGCGTGCGGTGCGTTCGTTATTCTCGTTGATTCGTTTGATTTGTCGGTTAAAGCTTTTCGTCGTCGTCGCCGTTATTGTGCGTATAGTTAGCATTGCATTATCGCACACTACGTCGCCGATTTCGAGGAAAAAACGTGACCGATTTCGCATTAGCACCGGGCTAACGTTTGTTCGAGTATACGTAAGAATAACGGTGGCGTAAGCTCGCATCGATCAAGCGCTCGACAGTCCTCGAGCAACGGAGAGCCACGTAAGAGCATTATATCGACGCATCTTATCTGAAATAACCGTGAGCGAGAAGGACGAAAATTGCAAGTCACCGCGGCTATCATCGAATCGGCGACGAAGGCGGCCGCGATATTAGTGAACACGTGTGTGTATATACAGATTTATGTACATCGTAAATAAGAATGAAAAAGAAAAGATGCGAAAAGCAAACGGACCTCTACAGCCAGTCATGGGATCGCCGTCCATGCCCTCGGGACAGTTGCACCTGTAAGTGCCCTGCAAGTTGGTGCAGAGAGCGGAACGACCGCAGGGACTCCGAAGACACTCGTTGACGTCGAGGCACTCGTGCTCGGGGCTGCCGTCGAAGCCCTCGGGGCACTCGCACCTATGGCCGCCCGGCAAGTTGACGCAGAGAGCCCCTCGTCCGCAGGCTCTCTCGTAATTGCACTCGTTCACGTCGACACACTGCAACGGAGGGCAGAAGGGCGGATGAGCGCGGGGCAGCGCCGCGCGGCGGCGGGCCAACTCACGTGATCGAGGGGGTCGCCGGTGAAGCCATCGGGGCAGGCGCAGCTGTAGTTGCCGGGGCTGTTGAGGCAGAGCGCGCCCAAGCCGCAGGCGTCAGGCCTGGCGCACTCGTCGATGTCTTGGCAGCTGACCTCGCCGTCGCCGCTGAAGCCGGGCCTGCACTTGCACAGGAAGTTGGCCGGCAAGTTGCAGCACTCGGCATTCTCCACGCATCGCGCCGCGAGCACGGGGTCGTCGCACTCGTCGATGTCTGCCGGAGAGAAGCGCACGCGTGCGTGTAGTAGCCGCGGTCGTGTCCTACGCCTCGCCTCGGTCGCCGTGGTTTACCTTCGCAGTGGAAGCCGTCGCCGCGATAGCCAGGGTAGCAGGAACATTGGAAGCTGCCCAGCGTATTGGTGCAGTGGGCGAAAATATCACAGGGCCGGTACTTGCATTCGTTCTCGTCGGGGACCTGACAGTTGCAGCCGCCGAAGCCGTCGTTGCAGTGGCAGACTCCATCCAAGCACACTCCGTTCTGGCACGTGCTGCCGTCTTTCGCGCAGTCGTCTGCAACCAGTCGGACTTCGCGTTGTACAATTCGCGCCGAGAGACGCCGTCGAGGTTGACCGCGCGTAACGGCCCGAGCGGTTCCCCGTAGCAATACCGCAGCCACCACCTGTCGTTCGGCGTCCCCCAGCGTCCTCGCGTGGAGAGATGATTGCCGGCATCTCCGCGAGCGCCCGAAGACAGGCGATCGTCGAGTATCTGTCGCGCGCGTATATCGCCCCGGGGTATTGCCTCGTCGCGGCGCGTCCGCGGTTTCGACTTTATTGCTCCCCCTCCCCCCTCTCTTTCCCTCACTCTCCACTGCAGTAAACAACTTTATTTCCAACGAATATTCTTAGCGAACCATTAATGACAGAACACGTTTTCCGTAATTATAAAGAAAGAGGAAGGTACCTATGCTTATGAACGCCTAATGATCGCGACGAATGCGCTTCTCAACTCGAACAAGCAGCAGAAGATTCGCTTGGCTGCAGACGGAATTCCATTGTTGCGCGGGGAATTCCTTTTTGTTTACTATTACTATTATTATTTTTTTTTTTATTTTTTTTTTGCCGCGAGCGAGCGCGGATCGTCCGGAGATGAGAGGACTTTCTCCTAAATACCTTTTCTTGCAGTCTTGTCAATTTCAATTTTTTGCTAAACTAACAAAAGGGAAAAACGAGAGAGAGAGAGAGAGAGAGAGAGAGAATTGCCAGGTAAATACATTGCTATTTGAAATTGGCATGTTTGTATTTACGGCAAGATTGCGTGCACTCATTCGCGTGCCCGACTCGTTAGCCGCCTGCGTCTATCGTCGGCGAGAGAGCGTCTGTCAATAGGTAGTTCGCGCACAAAGAGGCGTGCAAGGGCACGAGCATGGTAAAAAGGCGAAAAACAGTTGGAATGGTTGTTCGTCGCGACTTCGCTGGTAGGCGCACACGTTGCAATTGCGCAGATACGCGCGCCGAAGGAGGCACACGTACATACGCAGCTCTAATTAAACGCTCCGCCGAAGATTGCACAGCTGGATTACATATGTGATGAGGTAGTGTACATGTACGTACCGGTGCACTTGAGCCTCTCCCGATGCTCGTCGCTACCTTGGAAGCAGTCTATGTGATCGTCGCACAGCTTCGACAGTTGGAGCAACTGCAGCACGTCCTTCGAGGCATTCACCTGGCAACCGAAGTAGCCATCCTCGAGGTTCAGGAAGAACACTTCTCGCCTCGGTCCTCGGCCAAATCCCGTCTGCGATTCGGCCTGTCGATAAGCACACGTAACGTCGTGTCATTGCTGGACAGAGCCCCAGCCTTCTTTTTTTTCTTTCGTGCTTCCCTTTCTTACCGTTCCCCCGTTTTCAACGTGGTACTTTTCGAATCGGTAATCGACAAACACTCGACAGTCAATCTTTGTAAAGATAGACGTCAATTTAAAAGAGCCTACAAATCTCCGCAGATCATTGTAACGATTATAATCTTTTTGTAAAAACATCTCGTCGTTCGCTCTTAGAGTATTAAGAATATTAAAAGCCGCGGGGAACCTGTCGACCTCGCTGTCGACTCAAAAATTCCGTAAAACACGAGAAAGTTTGTTCAAACATCAAAGAAGGTCAAACAGTTAGAGAAGGTTGACATTACTCACCGGACACGAGGATAGTAGTATCCATACCACCAACGGCCAAAGATGTTTCATCTTTGCTGTAAATCAAAGAGTAACAAGTCATTAACAAATGTAGAGGTGCTCGTGCAATGGGTATGCGGGTGTGCGCGCGCGTGAACGTGTGTCATGTGCGTGTAATCAGGAAAAGTGGCACGACGACGGAGGAGGATAGGCGCGGGATCCGGCAGCGTCCTTCGACGAGAGGAGTCACACGACGCTTATTCATCCCGCTTCTTCCTCTCGCATTGTCCACTGCGTGGCGTGCTTCGCAATTCGGCCGCCGCGCGTACTAAAGCAGTAAGGCTCGCTGCCCGGGCGAGTGTCCGCTTCCAAGCCAAGAAAGTTGCCTACCCTGCCTACCCGGCTAGCGTCCGCCAACTGTGCGATCACGACAGCCTACTTTTCAGCGCGCCCAAAATTATACGTCGCTTAATTAGCTCGAATCGTCTGGCTTCGGCTATCCGGAGTAGGCCAAACGCTACTACGGAGGCGGGAATCCTCCTTCCGTACGCGCGTATCGTCTTCGCGCGAGGAAAAATAAACAAATAAATAAAGTAGCTCGCCTCGATCGGCCGCAGCACACAATCCCTCGCTTTCCAGCGCGCGTTACGTTTGCTTTGCTCAGGAAAGCGCAACGACGAGCGCGCGAGCGCCCAGTAAACCGTAGTGCCACGGGAACACCTGTGGGCCGAGAGGCGTGTGGTTTTGGCGCAGGCCATTTGACGCGGCGCGCGCGCGCGGACCTCCTCCGGCATTGTCCGCGCGCGCGCGCTCCCATCGTGTACGAGCTCTCCACCTGCCTCGCTCGACATCTGCCTAGCCTCCCTGGCAAATCTACGCGCGCCCCCTTCCTTCGTGCGCGCGTGTGGGCGAACCTTCGCTTGCATTTTCTTCCTCGTTTTCTTTTTCCCCCGCGCGCTGACCGACTTGTTAATTGAAATGTAATGCGCGTGCAGGGAGATCGTTCCACTTGCGCTTTTGTAGGTGCAGCGACGTGAAAATTTTTGAATTACGTTTCCTTTTCCCTTCTCCCCCCCCCTCTCTCTTCTAATTTGTACTTCTGTTTTAATAAATTTGCGCTGTTGAAATTCCTTGCACGCGCATGGCGTCACTGCTCCACGAAATATTCAGTACTTTACTTTTGAAAAATTTAATTATCCCTGGCTATCGCATATTTTTACAGCTAGCAATTAACAAACGTAAACCTAAGTCTCGGTAATTGTTGGAAGAAAAAATCCAGCGGCAGCATCATAATTAGTAAGATAGAAAAAAAAACATAGCCGAGCGAAGAGAGGAAAAACAAGCGGTTGTCGCGCGCGGCAAGTTAATTCCCTGGCATTGTTTCTCGCGCGAATATACGCCGCGGCAGTGCCTTTAAAACACGAAAATACTCTCACGCGACGGTGGACAATCTGTCGCTTTATAACCAAAAGGTGGCTAAGCGTGATTATATAGCCAAGGCGGCTAGCCTTGTCCGTTTGGTCGTTAAATAACAGCGCCCGGAAAAAAAAAGAAAAAAAGCGGAAACTCGAACACTTTCCCAAGTCGCTATACGCGAAGATCCACCTTGAAATGGTGCCCGCGCCACAAGCCAATTAAGGTCGACTCACTCTCTTTCTCATGGCGGGCGGCGAGCAAACACACACCCATAATAATCGGCTACCAGCCGCCTCCTCTCGATAATTACTCCTCTCTCGGCGATATCGCCAAGGTCGTCCGATATGTATTAGCTGGGCTCTACGACTGGTAGCGCGAAACGCAAAAGACCATAACGAAATTACGCAATGCTAGCATCGTCTCGGCTCGCTAACTGTACCTGCGTACCTCTCGAGGTTAACGGTTGTAAACTGCGTGCGGCCGGCCGACGCGAGAGGGTGCAATTTTTCGCAGTTACGTTTTCCATTTTCCGCGTCAGCGTGACGTATGAATTCTCCGCGCGCAGCCAGATACGCCGCCGACGAGCCACTTGCGCGAAGACGAGTTACGCACAGGCACATTTACGTAACGCGCGCGCACAGACACGCGCCCTCGGACTTTTAATTGCGAGAGCGAGAGCTAGAGAGATGCAAATGTCGCCCAATACGGTTGTGCAACGATATCGCGTATCGCTCCAACTACCGCGAGAGTTTCATCTGCCGCGCGAGTACTTTTGCGGACAGCGTGCGTCGGTCGAGCTCTGCCTTACGTTTCCTCGCTCGCGTCCCGCTGGCAATTTGCGATCAAGCTTGAATTACGCGTTGCGATCGCCGAGAGCCGATCCTTGGTGTGTGTGTTTTTTTCGCGCTTTCGCAACGACGCCACCCACGCGCGCGCGTTTCTGATTGCCAACGAGAGGCGGCAGAAGAACGGCTATAAGTTTCGGGAAAACCTCGCGATGCTATTCTCGTCGATGACAACCGAGGCACGTCGAAAGCACATATGCAAAACGGAGACGCCAATCGGTATAGCAATGAAGATCCGTCATAGGTGTGTCTCGCATCGAGAGAGACAAGCGACAGTCGACCAAGCCACCATGACACGAATCGTTACTTTTTTTTGCTCTCTCTTCTATTTCTTTTCGCGCGGCAGCGACGCTCATCAGCATAATACGTGTCGCAAATTTAAATTCACGACTAAGCGCTCTCGTGCACGTATCCCCCGTTCGCATTTTCATCCTTTTTTTCGCAACGGCGCAGCTGACGTAACGATGACTTTAGCTTTGATACGAGAGCCGTCGAGAAGTACGAATGGAAGGTGATATTTTGGCGTACATAAACTGGCTTCACGGCCACGTCGTATATGCGGGCAAAAGATGCGATTCTGGCGGTCGAGTGCGAAATAAGGAGAAGCTCTCTCTCTCTCTCCCTCTCCCTCTCCCTCTCTGATAAAGCGCACGGCTCGATTTCTCAAGAGCGCGCGCGAGATTTCTTTTTCTTTTCGCGACGCCTACGCAGCGCGCCGCCGTCGGCTGCTTAAGGAAGCCGTGAAAGTATATCGTCGACCGAGAAATGTGTTACGCGCGAAGTAGAGTGAGAGATCGGTTGCAGGCGCGCGTGCGAGCCCGCGAGGACGCGAAGTGAGCCTCCGCCAAATCGAAAGCGCGCTCGTCGCAAGCTCGCGCGTGCGACGGGAGGAGTCGACGATACGTGCCAATTTTTGAATTGCCTCCGCGATAGCGCGGCCATTCGCACCTCGTCGGAGCGATCGTCTCGTCCATCCCGTTTGTCCGAGAGAGCGCAGACGCGCGCTTAGCTTGGCTCCAATCCGACAGTTACAAAACGCGTTTTTTTTTTCTTCGCTCGCGAAAACGTCGGTGATTCTTATCGGGTGCGCAGAATTCTTACGGCCGCGCGCCCAGTCGATCTTCCTTACTTTTACTTCTAATTAGCGATAACGCCGGCGTAAAGCGAGAAATTTACGGGCATCCCCGTGGCCGCGGCTCTCACGTACAAATCGTTTTTTAAAATCCTCCTCGAGCGCTGCGGCAATAGGAGTAGCAAAGCGATTTCACCTCGGCTCTTCGCAAAGAAGCCTCTTGGCATTCCTTGGGAAGGCAGCGCGCAGTCATTACCCGAGCGCGCGCGAACGTCAAGCGAAAACGGAAGCGATGTATATGTATCCGCGATCAAACGGCCCAATCAACTGTACGGTATATCGAAAAATCGACGCATGCGAAAGCGCGCGCGCCTCGGAAAGGACAATGCCGCAACGGCGGCTCGCCGATTTTCGCGCGCGCACTGCGCTCGACTGTAGCCTCGGTATACCGTTGCCAGAACAATTTTCCGCGCTCCGCTACGTAGGATTATGCATGCCACGGTGGAGGTCAAAAAACCGATCTCTCCGATCATCAGATACGTCGCGATCCCACCTTTCTTTTCTCTCTCCCGGAGATGAGATTTTTTAATTTCCGAGAGGGCTCTCTCTCTCTCTCTCTCTCTGGGTTTAATTACAGCATGAGGAATGATATTGCCGTCGACGTCGATTTCATACACGCCCGAGCATCCGAAGATCGATCGGAATTCTTTTGAAGGCGCTTTTTTATCCGCTCATCAACAGTGTACGTCGCACGGCTTTCGTTTTCTTTGCCAAGCATAATAATAAGAAAAAAAGAAGATGATATTGGTGAGGCATCTGTATAAGTATGTAGAAGGGGCTCTCTTCCTTCTCTCCCCACCCCTCTCCTTCTGCAGTTTCGTGCAACCTTTGCTGATGCTGAGGGAAATTTAGAGAAAGTCCGTCTCGTTACCTATTTATATCGCTAATGAGTGCGCTATTATCACGGATACGTACGCTCGACGCGCCGACGCATCTTCGTTTAGAACGAACTAGGCCAGATCACTCGAACGATATTTTTTCTCGTTCGCAAGTAGGCGAGTTCTATTTTTTTTTCGTTGCGAATGTATTGCGCGATTGAAAACGCTGTATTTACGTGTGCGTTGCTTACATATTTACTTAGATGGAACTCAACCGAACAGATACGAATGCGAAAAATAGTTTTCACATGGATTAATCGAGTTTGTTGTAACTAATTGCTCGCTTTGCTGGCTGTTTATTACAGCAATTGATAAAATCAGCTACTCGTTGATCGCGGTGACTCAGGATTGTCGCCAAGTTTTTGTACGATCTGAACCACTAGTATAGTGTAATGACGGCGCGATCACTAAAACCTATGAAAGTGAACGCAACGCCGAGAGAATCATCAGCGACGATACCAACGGATCCTAGGGCGCTTAATTAATCACACGGAAAATTAGCTCGACAGCACTCGGCACTCGTTAATCAAGAAAAGGAAAATCGCAGGTGCATTTCCTGCAAGAGACCTTCCCACAAGCCTGTTGTGCGTGGAGATTAATTCCGTCCGGCAATCATCAGCTCGCGAGTAATCTAAGACTCGTGTGGGGAGTTGCTGCGCTTATACCGCGACGTGGATTTGCAAAAAGGCGACTAACGAAGAGAGCGAGAGAAATACTAGCCGGAGCATTGAAAATCAATTCCATAATCGACGACTCTCTCGCGGCTAATTGCGCGATCGGCAGTCCGTGTCGACGCACCGTCGAGTTCAATGTACACCGCCGGCACCAAGCAGCGTCACGTCGCGTATCAATTGAAATTACCTCAGCGCCTACGCTGCACGCCTCCATGGCAACATGAAAGGATCACGTAATGCAAGCCCCCGCCCCGGCGCGTTCATAAAAAATGAAGAAGAAGCGGAATGAAAGAACTGCTTCTTTTTTTTTTTTCTTTTCCTTCGTGACGGCTGGCTGATGATCGTCGTACGCCGTCGTAGATGATGTCACGGTAAGACGCGCGAAAACCTATTTTCGCAACGGTTAAAAATAACCGTCTCCGGAAAAGCGACGCGTCTGCTCATTTTGCCTGCACTTTGTCAACGCGCAACGCGAATAAACGCTGCCACGTCGAGCCGCCGACGAGGAGGGGACGCGACGCGCAAGATCCGAGACTTTCGCGGAACGCGCTCGCAAATATGTCTTCGCGCGCGAAAACCACCAGCAGGATACTCGTCGCGCAAATTAATGCCTTAGAACTTCCAACCGTGTGCGTCCTTCGTTTTTAATTATTCACCTCCGGTAGGAGTCGGAAAGAGTCAAGGACCCTTTGCTTCTACAACTTCACATCTTTCTTTAGTTTTTAATCTTTTTTATTTTATTTTTTTCGACGGCGAAAACAAAAAAAAAATAAATGAGACGTCGCGAAGCGAAGCACACTGTCATACGCATACCTGATGTAATGGTTGGCAAACGCACTTTGTGGAAATACGTAGGAACGGCGCACGTGGCGCAGAAGGAAAATCAGGCGCCGTGATTGACGCTTTTTCACGTCTCGACGATAATAGGCCGTCGCCACGCGACCACGGACTCCCCTAAGAGAGCTAAGGTGTGCGCGCATCGGTAATGAGTCAGTTTGTAAATATTAACCAATCTAATTAAATGCGGGCAGATGAGTATGATTATATGCGATACCTCGGTGCGGCTATATTAGCGGAAGCGCGCGATAGCTGACGCTTTCCACGCTTCACTTTGTTTCCATAAAACTATGTTGCCCGAGCCAATTGCTATAGATGTCGCTTAAACGATTCCACGGGCGTATGACATTCTTTACAATACGCTGTCATTTTCCATGATAATAGACGACACGAAGCTCGGCAGTGCGTTTACCGAAAGGACAGAACTTCGGACGGCGATAAATCAGCGATGCGCACCACGAGGCCTTAACTTCAACTTCCTCGGGAGACGAGGGTGGGGGCAGTGTTTGAAAATTCCCTCACGAAGCGGCTCGTCGTCGTGTCTATTTATCTATCACTCGAATCTATGGTCCGTGCGCAAAGGAAAGAAGAAGAAAAAGAAGATCGAAACCGAAATCAAGGCAATCGAGGATGCAGCTCACGCACACGCAGCGACGATAATCGCCTGCGCGCAACATCCGGCATGAATCAACCGTCGGTAGCGCGCGCGCCTGCCGGCCGCAAGCAACAAGTGAAAGTGCCGAAATTTCTCGTGGTCGCCCACTCTCCAGAGAGAGTGAGTAAAAGTGGCTACACGTCGACGTAATGCCACCGTAATAGGAGTGAATCCAGAATACACAACTCAAGCACGCAACGCAATCGGCTGCAGTTTCGAATATTCGGGTGAGAAGATCTCTCCGCGGGAGCGTCTCGCGCCCGATATGGAGATCGGAGGAGGGCTGCCACTGCCAACGAATGGCCGCGCGCTTATTTGCTCGTGCCGTAGCAATTAAAGCCTCGAGGCAGGAAGAGCCTCGTTTTCTTCTTCTTCTTTTTTTTCTTCGGGGAGGGTTGTTGTTGACGGCTAAGTAGCCTAACCGATTGATTTTGATGACGGTTATCTTCGCGCGCAATCGTCATCGATGTAAGCGCGCTCATTATTTTAATTCGGCATGAAGATAGGGGGGAAGGGGGAACCAGTTGCAATTCTTTTTCGTTTCGAACGCCGCGACACCTTGAAGGCAAACGAAAAGTGAACGTGCACTCGCTCGAGTGAACAGCTTGCTTACCATATGGAACGGGCATTTCGATCGAGCCGTTGTCAAACAATTTTTTTCTTCGACACATGCGCTGCTGCACCTAATGTGCCCGCGATAGACTGAAATGACTCGACCATCCATTCTTTTCGCCCGTGAACGGTAAAATGTTGGGCTGCAAGTTCCGGGTCTGGGAACAATCGCGTTCGAACGAGCGACCCATCGCTCGTCGCGATTTTCATAGAACTGGAAAGCGTGTGCTCTCGTCGACAGTGACGATCCGAGCGAAGAGGGGCACTCGCACGCGGAAAGTCCGAGTGTGATCTCGCGGCGAACGAAGCAACGAGAAAGAGAGAGAGAGAGAGGAAAAGGCAAGTTGGTCACGGTTCGCCGGCTCGCTTCGTGGGTTGCCACTCGGCATTGTCTTCGGTACGTAGCTTGGCGAACGGGTTGCGTCATTTCTCTCTTCTCTTTCCCGATAACCTTGCGCAAAGGACGAGAGGCGAGCGAGCGGACGATTACTCCCGCATGAGCGCTAGACCCGGGCCTGCTTTAAATACAATCGCGCGCGGGGTCTCCGGGCGGCAGTCATTTGGGCCGATGTATCCGCGGTGCGCAACCTTCGCCACTTCCGCGGACGCGCAATTAACTCGCAGCGGCGAGAATCGGGTGGCGCTCTCGAGGAGCCGCGCGCCCCGGGTTGCGCGGCTCTCCTTTGCGTAAGCGGCAGCCGGCAACGAGCTCGGACTAGCCGTCGGTGCAGTGGGCTTGGGTGCGCAACGCGCGAGAACGGCGCAACAACGGCGCCGAGGATTCGAGGCCAGTGGAAACGATTTTGACGAGCGCTCGCGCCGGCGCGAAATGCAAATCGCTGCGTGGGCAGCCAACGGGCCTGCGCCGCCTCGCTCTGCCGTAGCGCAGCTTTTCGATATGATTATATCGCGTGTCCGACTGCCGTGCACAACAGTAACAACGGGAACGGGCCCTACGCATGCGTATGCACACACGCGTGCATTCGCGGCAGCTGTGGCGATCGGCAACTGTCGTGCTCGCCAGCCTCGCCGACACTTTTGCCGCGCATAACGGCAACGATCGTCGCTTCGACGAACGGCATGCCGCGACGTTAGAAACAATGCGCGTCGCGCGCTGCCTTTCCGACTTTTCAAGCTCGATCGAGCCGCATGTCAGGCGCACCGTTCGCACCGTCAGCCTGCAACATTGCGAATTCCCGAGCTTCGGGCGTTTTCAGGGATGCTCTCATCGAACGAAATTCTGAATATCGCTGCTGCTGCGTGCTATCGCGGCTGCGTTCGTGTGCGTGAGTTTGCATTTCTCGACGTGCCGCGCATTTCACTCTGCGACAATTGGCAAACGGTGCTGCGTGGGAAAAAAAAACTCTGACAGCAGAGAAGTATCCAAGAACACTTTTCGAAACGAAATAATAAAAGAGAAATAAACATAAATAAGTAAAGTCACGCGAGTAGTATTAGTTAGAAATATAGAGGAGGAAGAATACTCGTAACAACAAAAAAAGGAGCTTGTACTTGCGCGTCTAACCTTACGAGTTCAGCCGCGTGTGCAGCGTCGCTTATTACAGATCAAGATCATCACAGACGGACGTAACGTTCGTGTGCACATTAACCTGCACTTTAACAGTCTCTCTCTCTCTCTCTCTCTCTTTCTCTCTCTCTAGCAATTTCGGATTAGCGGTATTCTGCTGCTGCTGCTACGTCCATCCATCCGTCATTGCCGTATAACTCCGGTGATAAGGTCGTTTGCTCTCGTGCTCGTTTTTACGTCATGTTTACCGGGAAGAAGTTTTCCTATATACATAATACACGTCTACGCGAACGACCGTCCGCGTCTTTTTCTTCTTCTTCTTCTGTCGTTTCTTTTATCGCCTTCGTCAAGCGTTAAAATGAAAATTTTAACACCTGATGTTACGCGTGGCTACGTCGACGTTTCACCTGGTACAGGCGTCCGCGAGATTCTCATCGAAAGGATCCTCCTGGAAATCGCCGACGGGTCCGCGACGAGCTGCAGCGAAGCGAGGAATGTTGCCGAAGTCGCCGAAGTTAATCATAGCTGCGGCGACGATACGAACGGAATGTCGCGCGGGCATATACGGAAAGGCTTCGCCGCCGAGCAAACGGATACCCGCTCAAACAAGAAAACAGGCAGGAAGATGAAAGCTCTCTGCCTCATCCAGCGCTCGAACAGTACGAAGCTTTCTACAAAGAGCCGAGGAGCGCGGAGAAATTCTTCCGATCCCGAACCAAGTCGTAGCGTTCTCTCTCTCTCTCTCTCTCTCTCTCTCTCTCGGCTCGCAGCATCATCGCGCGACGTCGGTCTTTTTTTCTTCTTGTTTTCTTTTTTTTTTCAGCTCGCGCACGCAGCAGCCGCGACGCTGTCGCATTCACGGACAAAGCCATTACAAGCCGCCGGCCGTAGCTCTGCTCTCCCATGACTGGCAACAATTTGCGTCGGGATTAATTGTTTTGCAGCGCATGATCCGAGAGATGTGTATACATGCCCAAGCGCCTTTTAATAAACATCTCGCGCACCGCCGAGTCGCGCGGAAATTGCCTCGAAAAGTCAATTATCTCCGGTGAGCGAGCGAGCAATTATCCTTTGACTGACTGATTGTTTATGTCGTTATATTTGAATTATTCCTCGAGGAAGTACTTGTATATCAACTTGATGCTTTTCGAGCGCTGAAATAGCACTGTTAAACGTATCTTCGATTGGCGCAGGGCTTATTATTTTTCCTTCCAACTGGACTGGAAAATTCTTCAACAGATTCATACAGATTGTACACACTAAACGCTTGTTCTCTTAGGTAAGTAATAACGTACCTATCTGATGACGAATTTCTTAAATGTAATTTAAATAACAGTACATACGTTTATTGTACCTTTTCCAGGCCTAGTTTTATAATGTTCTAATACACCTGCTGGCAAATCATATAACTATTAGGCATCTATACAGAGACTGCCCAGTCCTACCAGTAGGCGGATCAGAACAATATTTTAATCTACATCCGGAACAAATATTACTAATGTATAATTTTGCTTAGCATATCACATTTACTTTGAATATTTTTTTGGTTTTACTGTTTACGTTAATGTCTTCATCTTTTTATTTGGTTAATACAATTATTAGTACTAATGATCGGTTGAACAGACGAAATAATGTAATTGAAGAATAATTTAGAGGATATCCTAGCTAATAGATGGGTTTTAGTAAAACTTGAGAGGAACGTAGCTTTTTGCAAGGTTTTTCAATAACTTGGCGCTTATCGCCTGATCAGCATTTTGCATCGGTAACTTTATCTTTGAAGAGTTTCGCCAACATGACAAATGACTCTTTACAAATTAAAGAGGCAGAAGAAAAAAGTCCGTGAATCATAATAATAATACCTGTAACCACAAAGATGTCATCAGCATCGACAGGCAGAGAGTCGCCAAACCCGTCAGCCTCGCTAACATTACGAAGACTCCGAAAATAGCTCGAACGCGCATCTCTAATCCTTGCCAAAAAGCAAAGGCGAAAGCAAAAGAAAAGGAAAAGGAAAAGGAAAGAAAGAAACAATGCCGGTGACCGCGAGAAAACTCGTGTCTCTGACGGCAGGAAAGCGATCGGTACTCGGCGCATCCTCGGCACGCGAATGAAAAACTCGGCGCGAGGATTCTTCCGCGCAGGGCGCTCGCTCTGCACGCATTTGCCATTTCCCACGCGCTGCGCGCCTGGAAAGAAGCCAGCTTGAAGGAAACTAGTTGCCGGGGCTATCGAAGCGATCTTCTTTTTTTCTTCTTCTTCTTCGTAACGGGCTTCCAGCTAACGTTGTTCGCGCGCGCGAGTACGCGATCGCGAACTGTCCATTGGGAAAAGGGAATGCTAATAAATCGCCGTACGGATTCAAGCTTCGCTCTTGGAAGTCTTTCTTTCCTTTCAAATTGTCGTTTCCTTCTTCGCGGGAAACCTTCCTCCGAGCGCGTATAACCGAGAGAGATTTTTTTACGACAGTGGCGTTTCATCGCTGCACGATTGATTTCCCGCTTTTACATCCGCGCGAAGAGCTCGTTTATTATCGAGCGAGTATGAGCGGCAAAAGTTGTTCGGGAGAAGAAAATAGACTGGCAGGCAGACTTTTGTTTATCGACAAGCTCGCATTTAACGGCACCCGTTCATTTCATCGACATAAAGTGAGGCTGCCGAGAGCTAATAACGAAAGTTCACCTAAAAGAATTAATAACGAATGAGAAAAGCATTGCGCACACACGCACAATCGTAAATCACCGGAGCGCGGTAGTAAAATCACTGGCGCGCATTGGCGTCGTAATGAACGAAAAAACGAAAAACACAAGTATCGCGTAAAATATTGTAACCAATAGCGAAATTTATAGCGTCGATAAATGAAGAAGCATTGCGAACAAGAGTCCACGGTACGACAGCGCAGAGAGTGCATGTATGTTAATTGTGCAGTCTGGCGAGAGACGGGCGATGGCTTTCGTAATTGGCGGGGCGCGGATTCGAGCGCGCGAAGGTGAAAAAGAGAAAAGAAACAGAAAAAATAAACGCAACCGGTCGAAGCTCGCGCCGGCGAAAAATCCCACGACGTGGCTCGACGGACACGGTCGATCGGAGGAAAAGCAACGACGCAGCGACGACGTCGGAGCACTAAGAGCCTCGGCGCCGATTGTCCGTCCTCTCGGCGGCCAATTTGCCAGCCGAGTTTCGCTACGCACACGGTGGGGCGGCTGCGGCCGAGAAAAAGGTAGCCGAGCGATAAACACAGAGTGCGCGAGATAAGCGCGCCGACGACGGTCCGAGGCGAAACTCGGCGCTCTAATAAAGTCGCCGCGCGGCGCCGCTCACTCCGCTGGCGGTGTCGCCGCTATGGGAAGCGAACGGGGCACACAATCGCGGGCGTGTCGCGCGCGCTATGATTAATGCAGCGGCCCGATCGCTATTTATCACAGAAGCTGCTTCGAGAGCTACAGCGCCGGCGTCGTAGAGCCCGTAGAGCCAAAATAGGCGATGTGAAAG